ACTCGTCAACCTCACCTACATCAACCGTTTCAACTCATGCGATTCGAAATCCGGTTGAAAAAGAATCCCAATCAGCATGTACGCGTACCTAAGAAGTGAGAACCGATTACACATGTGGCCCCCCTTCATCAAGTCTCGTAGTTCCTGTATTCTGAGAAAATATACTAGGATGCATGCATCCCGTTGTCGACCTATTTAACGCCAACGTTATTAGTTCCACTAACCTCCCAGAAGAGTTACGTTGGTTGAATAATTAGTAGTATTCCTGAAAGGGTCTTTTATCGCAAAGCCCCCAACTAGACCCTACTTTAGATAGTATACTACTCTAAGTGAGATATTTGGAACCTGCGTCTATGAACAAACACATGACAGTCACACTGACTTACTTACCACGTTGTCTTCCTGATATCTATTCCAATCATGCCAAGAAATGATCTAAAAGCAAAAGACACTGAACCAGAAAGTAACAACCGGAACTCATCAAGGATGCGTCATATCTCATTGAATTACGTAGATGTGTCTCTCCCGTTGTATGCATTCCAATCCATACCGTGCCTTTTTCTTCTTCACTTTCTTCACACAATTAAACTATATCCTACATTGTTGCGTGCTGCATACATTGCATTGCAGCTAGCTAGCTATATCCCATTTCAGAAACGAATAAAGAAACGAAGGAAAACATAAGGATAGGATGGGAGACAATAGTAGTCATAAGAAATTGAAGGGTGGATGAGAGGAAGAGAAAAGGAACGCATCGCACACCATGGCCATGACTCCGCCGAGATGTAGATAGGAAGTAGATTGAATGACTTGGGAAAGAAAATGAAATTTCAAAGAAAGAATTTAATAAAAAGGCTATAAGATAAGAAGAAAGAGACAACCAGGCCCTCATCCCACACCCGTGCATGCGCCGTGTTATGTATTAGCCAGTCAACCCAGGGTTTTATATACAGTACATGTATGGAAGACAAGGAGGAATAAAAAGGATGGAAAGGTGACGAAGATAGAACAGAAAGGTATTAAATATGCATTATCCCGGTTTCGCCTTTTCGTGGTCGTACGCTGTATGCAATGTGGAACCAGAAAATGGTTCATTTGCATGCTCTATAAGACAGTTCGTGTAGTTTTGGGTGGAAAAATGATGTGCAAGAGATGTTGTGTGCTCGTGGTTGTATGTAGTAAGACTTTCTCTTAATGGTGAATATGAATCGAGTGGCCGGAGCCTTCGGTTCTGAATCCGAATACGGAGGGAATATCATCTCCGTCAGCGTAAGTCAGGACTGACTCATGATCAGTAAGGAGAATATACATTATATTTCCATTCCTTCTCAGGCTTCCAGTGCGCTGCTTACTTGCGGAAACTCTCAACTCCCAGCGTTGGCGTTTCAACCATGCGATCGCAGGGCACGCCTTCGTCGCGCCTCCGGGCGAAGAAGCTATCACATTCGGATACAATCTGTGCCCATTCCGCAAGAGCTCTACCTGCGTATTTACTGGCTGCGAGTTTGTCACTCATCGCAAGACTAATGTCAAGATCATTGGACTGCTTTTCCGACTCTGTGTCGTCTGTTCGGGCGTCTTGTTCGTCTGATTCGGGTGCACCTTGAGGGTCATAACTCTCATCGTCGTCTTCTCCCTCCGCCGCCGAAACGTATTCGGATGACGTCTCACAGTCATCCCGCTTGATCAGGGATTTTCGGAGCTGCAAGTGCAGCTGCGATCCCACGGGAAGACAAGGAGTGTAGAGACGCTTGTTCTTGCTAGGCCATTGAGGCCGATCCATCCACTCTAGCGAGAATTTGAACGAGTAGGGCTGGTGTGCAGTCTTGGGCCGACTCAGCTCCCCAGATTGGTTCTGGGGCCGCCAATTACCGTCCAAGCCTTTGTCTGCTGACGCTGGATTTTCAGAGCTGGCAGAATCTGACTCGTCAGAGCTGCTAGAAGACGACGCCTCACCGTTAGACTTTGAGCTAGAAGAGCCACCAAACATGGCTTTGAGGATACTCCATTTCCGTTTAGGTGCGGGTTGGTGCTCCAACGATTCCACTTTCGCAGCAGCATTGCTACTGGAGAAAGCGGATGTTTTCTCCGGTGGAGCCGGAGGAACAACACGGTCGAATGACACAAAGAAGTTCGATGGCGACAGCTGATTATCACACCTGATAATGATAATCCTCCGGCCTGGTGCTGGCGTGCACGGTGCAGAAGAAAGCGGTGTGCTGAGTTCTTCATCAGCTTTTGCCTGGAAAGCAAGATAGTATTTCCAAGAGCGCTGGAGTCGGTTCCAGAGCGTCTCGTATATCGTAGTGTCAAGAGACGTAGGCTCATCGTTGAACCTCCCCAGTCTCCAACATAATAAACGATGAAAGTAGGCGCGGACCATTGGACTCCAATGACTGAAGTAGTGGTAAAAAATCGACTCTTCTAGGAGGAATTCTAAGCAAAGATTGGCCTTCCTCTCCTCTGAAGCAGTCCACGTGCTCCAGATGGCAAAGAGAAATGAGAACACCCGGACTTCAGTGAGAGAATTGTGACTTTGCATCATTTGACGGCAGACTTGCAGCCAGAATTTCCAGTCGAACAAGTCATTCTCCATAGAATGAGAATATCGTGTGATGATGGGGATAACCTCCTCCACAAAATCACACAGTAGGAAACAAGCATTATGGTCGAACAGCGACGTCCTCTCCGCAGCTGCTCTCATGATGGTACAAAATGATTCCGCATACAGCAACCTTGCGTGGTTCGGCTCAAGCGAAGATTCTGAGAGAAAATCCCTAAGCAGGATAATCAAGCGATTCTCAGCCATCAAACGATGGCTATTCGCTGCCCCCAGGGGGAGCGCCGAGACAGCCGCATCGGTTCCTTCTATAAAATCATCGAACGTGACCGCAGCAGCCGTGTGATTGGTTTCCGGCATTTGCGGAACCGATTGCTTATAAAGAGTATCCTCAAGAACAACTAGGAGCTGCGAGTGAATCGGCAGCAAGCCTGGTGCCAGGATCCGCTTCGCCTTGTCAAGATCTGGCGGTAGAGCATCAGCGTACAGGACGTGAATGTACTTGACAAAAACGAAAAAAAGATCGGTATCCCGGCCACTCCATCGCGAAACCCACGGGCTCTGCCAAGGGATCTGAACAGTGCTCAAGGGTACGTCAGGCTTCTGCCGAAGGTATCGCACCAGAGCCGTATGGGCATGAAAAGCAAGCGTCCGTAAGGCTGCTGGAAAGTTGGAGGCAAGGTCCTGTGTCAAGGCTTTCGTACCACTACCTTTGTCGAGGTTTGACTGGCAAAGTACGCGCCGGAAAATGCTAGGAGGTGTATTCCACAGCCGCACAAGGATATCGGCAACGCCAGGACAGAAGAAGAATGCATACGCACAGGCCTTGCCACAGAATGCAACTAAGCTGGCGGGCGCATGTCGCATGGACATTCTTTCAACCACAAACGACATCTGAGACAGCAAATTCTGCGTGAAAATATTCCTTATGTTGTGATGAATAGACTCGAGGAGAAAGTCGGAGCCTGACGAACCATCCGAACTCTCCGATATAGAAGTTGACGCATGTTTGAGAGGTTTTGGGAAATTGCTGTGCGACGGAGGAAGCGGAAAAGGAACCCTCCATTCGGGTCGTGTCATAATGCCAACGATTGCTTCCAAGTATACTGGCCTATCCGTCCCGGATATGGACTGGTTGTTCTTGCCGTTTAGCATCTCTAATAGCCCCGTCCACCATTTGTTGAGTATATTGACCCGACGATCTAGGTCTTCAGGCCTCAGATGTCTACAGGATTGATGCGACTGGTTTCGGTTCAAAAACGGCAAAAGCGCGGACCGGATGACGTTGGCTTTCAAAGCGCTGGACTTTGCCTGAAACCTGGATGAAGACTGAGTTAACCAACGTATGCATATAAGCTACTTCCTTCAGGACTCACTTCTGAAAGTCAGCCTCGAGGCCCCGGAAAACACCCCAGAGGTCATCCTTTTTTCGCGGCACGTCCACAGTTCCGGCTGGATTCGTAGTTGCCGGTGCTTTAGGCACCGGTGGTAGGACTGGCGTTGTGACATTAAGGGTTGCAGTGAGTTTTTCCAGCGAATTCTTGGCCACCAGTGATTGAGGTGAAGAACTACTGGGAGTACTGGGACTATCTGCTCGACTTTGCGTCACAACCGCGACCATCGGGCGTCGTGGTCGTTTCTGTAAGATTGTCCGCCTGCGAGCGGGGGCAGTAGGCTCAGATTCCGCACTCCCAGTATCTGCTTGGCCGTTCGCCTTGGGTGAGGTTGTCGGCGGATTTAGGGTTTGTTCCTCTGTACGTAGAGAACGGAGCCGGGAGCTTTTCCCAGAAGGCGGGGAGCTCGACGTCCAGGGTTTTCGAGCCAAACTGACCAGCCTGCCGGACATGGAGCGGGCTTTGGAGGGGCGAGCAACGGGGGACGGTGCCCTTGTTTCCGGAACCTTGGCAGGAGGAACTGAGGTTTCTGGGCCAGCAGGATCCGACACATCCTCTGTCGATACGGTAAAGCGAGAAACAGCGATAGTTGGTTTGTTTTTAGACCGAAGCGAGGTCCGTCGTAAGATGTCTTTGCCAGCAGCCACATCCTCTTTTGACGGCGACTCCGTCTGAACAGGGTGATTTAGGTCGGAGAACGTCCTCCGCAGACCAGGCCGGCCGGCCTCGGTGGCCGCTAGGTCCGGAAGGTGGTTGTAACTAGCGGCATGGGTCAAATGGACGTGTTCGTCATCGAGAGGAGTTGCGAGCTCTGGAGAGGAAGAAGACATGGTCAAAGGATAGCCAATCCTGGCTATATATCCACGCAAAGGAAGAGCCCTAGCGAGGTGTACATCTCCTCCAGCCGCAGAAGGCTGGACAATATACTATCACTCAAACGGGCGTTGGGGAGACCAGCTCCTCCATATACAACGAAAGCCACTCCCAGAGAGATCAGACCATATGCAGACCAATCTGTTCCAATAGCATTGAGTCGTCCGGTTAGCGATGCGGAGAAAGACGAGGAAGAGGCGACGACAAGGAAGGGAGGCTTGGAATGATGGCGGTGCAGGCAGGCAGGCAGGCAAAGGTAAGGCAAGCGACCGCGGCGAGCGAACACGGTAGTTCTCGACGAAGCTCGGGATAGGACTGGCTCCGAAAAGCTAAATCGGGAACTTTGGACGATGCACGGCGAACTAGGGACTGAAATGTTAGCCAATGCTGGGCAGGAGAAAAGGTAGAGCGAGCGGTTGATCGACGGACGGGCAGAGTTCCGGCGTGAGTGAATTCGAAGTATAACGGAGAAACGATCGTAAGGTTGAACGAGGGGCAGGTGGGAAAGCCGGCAGGGGCAATAGATAGTAGACAGAAGAGCGCAACAGAGCTAAGACTTGCTTGCTCCTTTCTTGTTTCTTTATAAGGGCCCAGGGAAGTGGATAGAGCGAAGGAATAATGGGGTGTGAACAAGCAAACGAATGTCGGGATCAACGAGGGAAGGGAGCAGAGCAGGAACTGAGCGGAATCGAAGGAAAGGGGAGAAAGGAGCCGCAGGATGAGATGGGGATGAACAAGCCCAGCAAGAGCCAGTGACAGCCAAAGAAAGAGAGACAGAAAGACAGAGAGGGAGAGGACATGACGAGCAGGCCGAATGGGGCAGAGCAGATGAACTGACCGGTTTCGATAATACTTCCAACTTCCTATTACATACAAGCAAACCCACTTGTGCTTCTTCTCCTGGTGGCTTCTCCTCTCTCTAACCCTTGATTTAGCCCTTCAGGAACCCGGGCAGATGGGGCTTTCCTCAGACTGGAGCAGCCTCCGTGAAGCTTGGCCCCAGCGATGGAGGGTATAATGATCTCACCAAGTGATTATTCCCCTTTGGACGACGACGACGATGATGATGATGGGGGAGGGAATGGTGACCTTGCGGGCGCGGAAAAGTAGATGACGAGAAGGAGGACTGGGACTCCTTCCACGTTTAAGATTGAGAAAGAGAAGAAAGCTGTCCTATCCTAAAGGTTTCAAGAAAAATTGCCCAAGTAGGCGGTCGCTTAGAATATCTTTCTTCTACTATTTCTTTTTCACTATTTTATTTTTTCTTTTCTTATTTTCCCTCTGCCTGCTTGTCTGGATTTTATGGCTTGATGATGTACCCCGTCCACGCATGGAGGGCAGAAGGTAAGTACACACCGTCTGGCTGGCGCTTGGGCGGTATGGTAACTTACAGTAAGTACCGGGTATGTATGTAAGCATCTCTTTTTATTACGATACCGCACTTCCCTAGTCGGAATTCGAGCGATCCGAACACCAGACTCGCCCAGAATGAAACTCCATTGTCCGTCTAGAGATGATCTGGGACGAGGCTGGTGATGCTCATATGATGAGATTGAGGGAAAATTTAATGCCTGGACCTGGTATTTGCCCCCTTTATCGTCCCCCTTCGTTTCCTACTGTATATCTCACGAACGTTGAACTGTCCGGGTGCGGTCCCTGGTGCTTAAGCCTCGTAACCAATACATGGGGAGGGGGGAAGGACTTTGCCCCATGCAAGGCTGTGAAGAAAATTCAATAATCGCGTCATGACGAATCCATTCTCCAGGCTGGACTTTTACTATGAATAAACCCACATTTGCTTAGGTTTAAGATCTAAGAAGTAGGTGCTATGGTAACAAAAGGGTTGAGAGGAGGGATGGATCATTGCGACTATTGATGGAGGAAAACTGTATTCGTGACGGGTACCATACTTACTACTTACATTACTATCTACTTCCCCCATCCAATCTCGCTCAGCTCCGGGCTCCGATCCTTTTTGAGGCTGCATGCACGTCCAACAGCAGCTTGCAGGAACAGGTTGGGTACGCAGTAGAGTTTTCGATCCTCGTCCTGGTCCCCGAGTTGGGCAATGCGAAGCGTCTGTGGGAACGGTTGTGCTGACTCGTCCGAGAGGCGCAGTGGAGGGGAACATTCTCCCGTGTTATTATTAGTAGTAGTGACATGATGGTAGTTATCTATTTCGTACAGGAGGAGGGCTGGGATCTTGGCAGGACCCTGATATTAGTCCCTATTTGGTTGCCGTATGGGGTAATTGTGAAACACTGTGAGTAAAGCCGCGCGCACTCGACTTGGCATAGGAACAGGTTAGTCAGCCTGAGGCTGGTAAAAAGGAGTCAAGAGTTGATTATTTAATACGAAGCACTTCCATGGTCTTATCAAAGTACAAATGGTGTAGAAATGTTGCTATCAATCGAAGCGTGGATGATCGATATGTGGTGTGGTGTACTAACTCTGCCCCTGCTTTGTAAGGAAAGTAAATAGTCATCTCTGGGTGACTTGGCCTTTCACCGTCCGCGCCGTAACTTACCATTCATTGTTTGTTTAGTACCACCGAATATACTTGGATCGGATCCCCAGCAGTACCACCGCAACTCAAAACCTTCCCCTCCAGCATCCTCTTGGAATAGTCAGGTCGCTAATCCAATCTTAATGAATTCCTGCCAATTCAATCCTCCGAAAGGAATGTTGTACAGTTATAAGCGGTCCACCTGGAGACTCCCGCTTTCATTCCATTTGACCAACGTCATCCTGTTGATAACTGGGGGATGAAGTGGCTCAGCCAGCCATTTTATCCCTGCCACCATTTCCTGGTCTTGTCAAGATTCCTGGAGTATGAGAACTACCTTGACTGACAGGCCATCGATCGCTCGATCACCCCATAGATCGATCCTGCAGGTATGGACGTGTGAGCCCCATGTGTTGACAGAAACCCGACTGCAACAACCTCATAGTGTGATATCGTAGACAGACAGACAGACAGATCGAAACAGATTATCGTATCTGACTTTCAGTCAAAGGGCTGAGTTCTGATAGTGTAGCGGTCTGGGAAAGCAGTCCTGGCTGGAGCTGTCATATCTCACGCTTCACACCCACTGTAGAACAACTAACGCTAACTCCCCTGCATCCCCTTCCAATCGACAGATCTTACCAACACACTACTAGCAACGATGATTCGTATTGCATGTTGTTTTTTTAGCCCGATGAAGAAGGACACGTTATGATAGTCTCTCAGCCCGAAGTAAGGTAGATGCATTTGCATGCCCTTGCGAAGATCAAAAGATGCCCTGCCCTTCCGGTCACCGGCGCCCATGTGCACAAGACAATGACCAAATGTACCAGATGAATTCACGACTTTCACACGTCGCACACCAAGGTCATCATTGCAGGAGGCGAATCCCGATTTGTGTGGCTGTAACATGTCCGCTGTACTCCGAATAACGTTCCCAAATGGTGTGCTGGGATCAATCTGCCACTTATCAATCTGAAGAGGTTCGGACGGTCGGATATATCAAACCCGCCCGCGCTACGGTCGCCTGAGGCCAATTTCTGCGCTCGGGGTACCCGCTTTGGGCCAAACGTTGAGTACTACTGCTACGAAGTACTCCCACTCGCTTTCTTGAACAACCACCCTGCCGGATTGTGTTCCGAAAGGATGCAAAACATACTTGACTAGAAGGGCTTGAGGGAAAAAAAGAAAATTCATGTGCTCAAAGTAGGTTTAATTTACAGAAGTTACTCCAGGACTTGACCAGCGGAGGATATCATGTTAAGTCCATCCCATTGTCTATAAGCCCCGACTCTCCTCTATCGTTGTCGGTGAAACAACAGATACCTAGTGAGCAGCGTGGGCCTCCTCCTCCGGTTCCTCCTCGAACCAGCTCTCCTCAACGGGAGCGGCCTCACCGGCGGCGGCCTGGCCCTCAACCTCGACCTCCTGGCTCTCGTAGGACTTCAGCTCATTGGCGAGGTTGGCCTCCTCGGGGGACTGGGGAGCGGCGGGAGGAGCGAACTTCTGGACATGAGCGTCGGCGTCACCGGGCTTGACGGGGGTGGGCTTGTAGGCACGGAGTTCGCGGAGGTAGAGCTCCTGGACAGGGTCGGCTGCAAGACGTTAGAAACCGTAGATGCCTCATATGCAAGACTGATTTGCCAAACACATGTGGCATTCTCGATGGGAATTGATTGCACTTTGTATGAAAGAGGGTCACATACCCTGACGGACAGCCGAGGTCAGGAAAGTGCGGCGAGAAACAGAAACCTGTTGCCGAGAGACGCGGGTGAAGAGAGAGCGCTACCAAACAGGGTCAGCCACCATGTCACCCAGTTGAGTTGGGGGGCAAATCGTAGGTGTATCGTAGTCTTACCGACGCTCTGAGAGTCTGGGACATCATCGCGGCGGGGTGGTAGATGAGGGGGGTTGGAGGTAGGTGGGTTTCTGCGAGGAGAGCAAGTGCTGATTGAAGCCGATGTTGGAAGTTCGACGTTTGTTCGGGAGCCTTCGGCTTGGCGGCTGACTCAGCAGGACGGCTGCGAAGTCCAAGTCAGGTGCATCTCCAGGTTGGATTTGTCCGCTTCGCCCCTCAACCTCAATTCTCTCGCTCTCTCTTCCTTCCCTCTCTTCTCTCTCGTTGTTCTTTGTTCCCCCTCCCTTCCTAATTTCCCAGCCGCCTCTTCCACAAGGCCTTCCTTGTCTGCTCTGCGACACTTTTTCGTGATACAACCCTCACGGAGAGACCTTGACTGGTTCCATCGCGGTCGGGCAAGTTTGGCTTCGAGGTTTCGGGGAATACGCTGGAGAAGGAGATCACCGAGTACTTCAGTGCTTTACTCTGGGAACTTTGGCAGGACCAAGAGTCCTTCACCTGCCCGGAAAGGTAAAGCGCTAGCTTATAGAACCTGATCCCCTCCTTTGAGGACAAACTGCATGCCGGTGACTACCGGTTTACCTTCACCGTTGTCATTCATCATGTAGTTTTCACTCGGGAATCTCATGCTTCGTCTCCCATTGGAGTTGTTGTTCAGATATGCTTGGGGCATTCAGGCTAACATCAGTACAAAGGCAGTGACGTGGAGACGTAATTGCAAACCAGTTTGAGCGATTCGCGCCGCTGCTGTCCCATCTTTTCTCGCCGCTACACTGTGAGCACGCCGAATCACAGTCTTTTCAACAGACTTTGGACGTGAGCCTCACCTTGCCACTCGAAAGCCGTTGCACTCGCAGCTCCGAGTTTTTCGATCACTTGCGCGAAAATCGCACCCTTGAATCAGAACACGATACATCCAAGTCTTGCCACGCTGCCTCTGAATATGGCTGCTGTTTCCCCTGCTGCCGCTAGGGCCGAGCCAGGCCAATGGAAGAAGAACCTCTCAGCCCACGTCATTTGCCCCGAGTGCAAAGAGGTTCCCCCGAATCTGGAGTTCCCTGGCTCTCACGAAACTGTTTGCGGCTCATGTGGTCTGGTTCTCGCTGATCGGGAGATTGACATGCACTCAGAATGGCGTACATTCTCCAATGACGATCAGAACAACGACGACCCTTCTCGTGTTGGAGATGCCATGAACCCGCTTCTCAACGGTGATCAACTAGAGACCCAGATTGCTAGTGGTGGGTCGGGCCGCGTTCGCGACCTTTACCGTGCTCAGAACAAACAATCGAGTGAAAAGGCAAACAAGGCTCTTCTGGCAGCCTACAAGGAAATTGGTGCTCTTTGCGATGGTTTTAACATTCAGAAGAACGTGGCAGACACAGCGAAGTATCTCTTCAAGATTGTGGACGATGCCAAGGCATTCAAGGGAAAGTCCCAGGATGTGATCATTGCAGGCTGTATATTTATCGCCTGTCGCCAGTGCAAGGTGCCACGTACCTTCACTGAGATCTTCGCGGTGACCAAGGTCACAAGGAAGGAAATTGGGCGTATCTACAAAGCTCTGGAGAAGTTTTTCACTGCACAGAACCTCGAGCGGATCAATGCCGTGGTCTCCAGCGGAGGTGTCCCTGATCCCAACGACACATACACCGCCACTACTTCCACCAAGCCTAGTGACCTTTGCAACCGTTTCTGTAACCTTCTGGATCTGCCCTTCCAGGTTACCAGCGTCTCCTCTGCTTTATCCGATCGCGTGACAACGATGGGAGATTTGGCCGGACGTTCTCCCCTGTCCATCGTGGCAGCCTGCATCTACATGGCATCGTACCTGATGGGACACGGCAAGAGCGCCAAGGAGATATCCCAGGTGGCCCATGTCAGCGATGGTACGATCCGCGGTGCTTACAAGCAGCTATATGCTGAAAGAGAGCGCCTCATCGATCCCGAGTGGATCAAAGATGGGAAGGGTGACCTGAAGAACCTACCTAACAGTTAAATGGGCTGGACCTGGCCCCATCTCAAAAGCAGTTTGACTACCTGACATTTGCCGGAATAGCTGCTCTTGCTTCACACCCAACTCACTAGTCAAACATCGCTACTAAGCCACTGAGTATAAAAATGATACCCCAAATCACCTAGAGATATACAAAGAAGAGAGAGAAGTACCAAAAACAAAAACCACATATAATCCAAACCATTTCATACCGTTGCTTCACCATATCAAACCAAGAATGACAATTTGCGAGACGAGGACTCGGTAGTATACAAACGAATGAGAACAAACCAAATAGGGAAATTGAAACCTGAAACTCGAAAATAGCTGGTTCTCAAACCCACGCGCCGTCATATTTTTTTTATATACCATCTTCCAGTTCTGTCCACCCATTCCGGAGCGATTTCCAAAAGCAAGCCCCGATGGTCAGACACTCTTTTCTTTTCTTTCAGTTCTCACTTGAATTTGCCAAACTTTCCCAAGTCCATTTATTTATCCATTTGCTCCGTCTTTTAGCCTTCATTGTGCGTAATTAACCCAGACATAATGAATTAGCTTAGTAGCATGCATGTCATGTATGCATCATCTCTATTCAATCAATCAATTACAGTCATTATTACTAGCATCTATAATATACAATAGATAATGTAAACTGACTACTCTTGTAATTCCTGGGAAAGAAATAACAACCTATTCTCCCTATCTCATCTCTGGAGTATTATTATAGTGATCAGTAAGCGAAAAATTATCGAACTTCGGCTCAGTGAAGGATGATAATTAGTAGAAAGTACCAAGGGGCAGGCGCAATGTGTATGTGATCGCCCTTCACACAAATATCCAAAAGAATGATGTACGATGGATGGAAGATACGAATAAAAACGGTCGGAAGTGGGCACTCCAGCGAAGCTGGCTGATTGGCTGGCTGGCCGTACTTACGTTCTGTCAACTGGCGGTGGTCGTATGTTGTTGTCGTTGTTGGTGCTCTATAGCTACTGCACAGAGGTATGGTAGTACTATGCGTGTATGTGCTATCGAGGGAATGAAACAAGACAGTGGGGTGCACGAGTGTCTCAAGGAGTAAAGGAAAAGAAAAAGAAAAGAGAAATCAACATGTAGAATCAGATAACGGTCAATAGCCGGTACTTCACTGGATCTCGCCAATGTCACCTTCCGAAGGCCGTTTGCCGTCCGCAGAGGCGGCTAGGGTTTCGGCGACATTTTCGACGTCTTCCTCAGGGGATGAGGTTTCTTTAGCAATGGGAACATCCTCCTTGACCACGGGTTCTACAGCGGGGCTTGGTTCAGCCGCACTGTCAGTGGTTGTTGGGATTGAGTGGGCAGCCTCGGTGAATGTAGGTTCCTTGGACTCGGTGACTGTCATATTCTCTGGTGAAGCTGGGGCTTGGTCTTCCTTCGCCGGTAATGGCTGCGGATCAACAGATTCACCGGCGGTATTCTTTGCAATCGCTGGGGCCATGGTATCGGGCTTGGTATCAGGAGCAGCAGGGTTGGCTTCAGATCCAACGACCAAGTTACCATCTTCACCAACTTGCCAGACATTCCACGTTGTGGTGATCTTGACCTCAGGAATGGTGGGTAACCTCGTGCTGGCTTTCTCAACGGCAGGCTTTCTCCGCGCAGGTCCACGAGCACGACCCTTCCGAGCATCACTCAAAGGTTGCTTCTCTACTGGGGCGGCCTCTTCCTCTTTCTTTTTCTCCTGAGGCTTGGGAGGGGCCTGCGGGCCAAGCTGCAGCCGTGAGTTCAGATCCGACAGGAATCCTGCCTTCAAAGCAGCAATCTTGCTACCGCCAGGACGCGCTGGCACGGCCGGTTTGGGTTTGGGGGCTGCATCCTTTGACTCTTCGGGACTTGCACGAGAGATAGGCTTGGCTGGACGGGCTGGAATTTGAGGCTTGGGTCTATCCGGGATGACTGGTGGTTGACGCTTTTCAGTAGGGGAAGTGACCGGCTTCGTTGACGCATCCACTGCTGGGGCTTGCTGCGGACGTTTCTGAGGGCGTAGTGGAATGCTTGGCTTGGAGGGAACTTCTGGGCTCTTGACCTCTTCCTCTGACGGCTCTATGGTCGTCACTAGTGTATGGCTTTCAGGCGCATCCTCCCAGATGTCACGGCTGGGAAATCTTTGCTTGGCCACTTCCGGTCGAGCTGGAGGCTTCTCGTCATGCTCTTCGGATTCCAAGATCTGCGTCGCGACCTGATGGGGATCCAAATGACTCGCGTGGCTCCTACGGAACGACTCTTGTTCAGGAGTCTCAAACGCCTCCTGCTTGGGGCCCTCTGGGGTAGACACCGTGGCGTGCAGCTGCAGACTGTTAGGCGAATCTTCCCAGATATCCTGGCTAGGGAACCGGTGCTTGAGCTCCGGACGCTGCTTAAAGCGCTCTGCAGTTGAGACAGTCTTCTTGTCCTTCGCATCATCCTCAGGGAACAGGGGCTCATATTCTTCAACATCTTCAAGAGGGGTGTAGACGCCTCCGTGCTCTTCGCGCGAGTCATATCGTGTCAAAGCAGGCATGCTATTCTGTACACTAGCAGCCCGGCTGTTAGACCTGCTGTGCGTGACACTAGGTGTGTGACTTCTGCTTTCATAATCGACACTACCACTCCTTTCGAACGAAGGCGAGACAGCGGGATGCTGGTAGGCCGACTCGGGACGCACTTCGTCAGCAGCCAATATGGGCTCGTCGTCTTCATTGCCATCAGTGACGCCGCGGTTGAGCTCTTCCGGGTCCGGAATTTGAGCAAAGCCATCGGGGTGGTGCAAGTGGTGATACGGCTCGTCAACATGGATCACTCGAGGTGCTTCTGACTTCTCGCCTGCATCCTTCTCCACCACATCTTCCCGTTGTGCCTGAGACTCTGTGGCTGGTAAGCTTGACTTGCGGAGCGGGGACTCAAACGCCGGACGAGAATCGCGGCGCGACTCGGGAGGCGGCGATGACAGGCGATGCGTATACTCGTCAGAGGCAATATAACCGACTTCCTCTTCTGGAGTTCCCACCACAGCAGGCGAGGTGCCTGGATATCATCATCAGCACTATCGTTCTGTCTATAAATGTGTATTATTGGATAACGTACCGAGTCCAGAGCCAGTGACGGCAGAACCTCGAACAATCTTGTTCAGGTCGTCGCTGCTCAAAGCCCAATCTGGTCTAGGCGTGCCAACACCGGGGCCATATTGGCCTTGTTCTTCCTTGACATATTCTTCAGGGTGCTTCTCGTACCACGCCTTTTCGAACTTGTCGTTCGCGGGTACACCGTGCCCATGCAGGCCATAACTTCCGGGTGGCAGAGAGGCCTCACGACCACTACGGCTTCTGTTGTGACTCCGACCTGGACGTTGCTGCTGGTGCTCCACGACGTATGGACTTGGTGACGGAGCCTGGACATCGCCCGCGTTGGGGTACATGGGAACTCTCTGCCCAATCTCCGGGATCCCGTGTTCGTCACCGTGGAGTGACTGTCGGCGATCTGCGGACGCGGTGGAAGATTCAGCGCGTGAGCCACTAGCCCGCGAATGCGATGAGCGAGTGGGCCTCTCGGCATGATCATCATGAAGAGGAGACCCGGCACGGCCCAGACCGGCTGCAGCAGCTTGACGGGAATCTGTACGTGTGACAGCCTGCACCTTGGCCTTGGCACTGGAGGAGGGTAAAGATGGCCTTGGCGCATGGAGCTTGAGATCGCTTCCCACGTTGCGTGTTTCCGCGGGGGTCGACTGGTGGGTGTCGGAGACGTTGCCAACATCCAAATCTTCGTACTCGATACCCTCTTCACCCAAAGAGGGAATTGTGACACTTGGGGGGCGAGGAGGCAGATCGGTCGAGGGGGTACGCTTCATACCCGAACCATTGGGCAGGTCATTCAAGGGAGATGGTGCATAGCTATCGCGGTAGGGAGACACAGAGCGCTCAATGCGGTGAGTAGGACGAGGAGGGATCCTGGGCATGTCTGCTGAGGGAGGTGCAAGGCCTTGTTGAGGGGATCTTGACGGTCGGGGAGGGATGACTGGGGCTGTTTGACTCGACATGATTGTCTGGTTGGTCTGATAAATATGGTTTCGGTATGTACTGGAAATCGATTCTAACAATCATCAGTCTCATCGGAGCATTGAAGCCGAGCAATGAACAAGTGTCACATGAGCCTTTGAATCTCGATGGCGGGGAAGTGATCAGAGTTGGGTTTGAATTGGAGCTAGCACAGGGCAGCTGTGCATACATAGGTCACGGAAACAGGACAGGATGCAGGGGCGGTGTTCAATGTGGAGGGACGTGCTCCCAGAGGAAAGATGGAAGAGAGCACTATCTAGCGAGTAGAGGAGCTAGCAGAGGAGCTGCAGAAGAGGGCACGAGGCGAACTCTGGCGCAGGGATTGTACATATGTAGTCGGAAGCAGGTTGATAAGATAGGTGCCATGCGAAGCCGCTCACATTCTTTGTTGTCTTGGCTTGTCCAGCAGACTTTCTGAAGGCGGAGAGGAAGCCGTTTCAAGAAGTTTGGAACGATAGAGAAAGGACAACATTGCAATGACTGATAAGGGACATGAAATTGATTCGCTTACCTGGCAAGGATAACTAGTGTTGACGCAATGATGGAAGGAGGACTCAGCTGAAGCTCTAGAATGGGGGGTGGAGGGAGGAACGGCGGTGGGGAAAGTCAATTCTGGGAGAATCCAGCAGGTGAATTATGAATATGATGCTGAGACAAGATGGAAATACACGAGAGAATGTGTCCGAGAAGGGGGTGGGGGAAATGAGGAGAACAGTGAAGTAGTAGAAACAGTAGCAAGTAGGAGGAGGAGGAGCAGCAGCAGCTTGGCAGCAGAAGACGGTCAGGCCTGCAAGATAACTACCAAGTAACGAAGTAACTATGGGGATGATGTATGACTCTTGATTCCCGCAAAGTGGCCGTAACAGCCAGTCTAACCGCTTCTTTCCTGCCACGGCCCACCGCCCCGTCGCGTGACGTGCTCTGACGGCATGAGACCGCCCCTGTCCCCTCCTGGAAACCGTATGGTGACCGTATCTGGGCTGTGAGCCAACCGGCGTTGTTGGTTGCAATTACATAGCATCTAGAAGTATTGTTGAGGCGGTGGCAGAGGACCCCGCTGGGATCAGGAGTCATTTTTAGGTTTCCCAATTTTTTCTTTCTGTATCACCGTGTATTGTTCTTTCTCTTTTTGAGACACGTTCCTCCAAACCCTTGAGGGTCATCATATCATACCTCCGCATGGGATATTCAGATTCATGTTAACCATTCAGATGAATATAAAGTAGTCAGGATAGCTAGATAGATAGGTGGGGAGTACATACAAACTTATTCGTCTTCCAGACATCCTTGTTCAGCTGACGATAACCCACCAATAATACCTAATTAAACAACAAATCCCAAGACTCATTGAGACTTGCCCTATGCATGAATGACAGTAATGGATAGGTATGATTCGGGAATGTTTTCTTTTTTACTTTTTCTGTTTTTTTTTTTCTTTCTATTTTCGTGGCCTTCTGCATTGCATCATTTGAGGCATTTTCCTCTGGTATGCATTGTGTTCAACCTTCCAAGAGCAGACTAAAGTTGCCAGGGCGTCTTTTACAGGCCTAGACGCCTACTGGGTACCCTAGTAACATCGACGATAACACATTAGCGTTTCGTGATACTACGAATTAGCATCTATGAAAAGGTCAGCTCAGACCCCAAAGGCAAGGCCGTCGCCCCCCGCCTTGCACGACGCAGAAACTCGGTATCAAATTGGCGGATTACGGTTGATGATCTGTGGCCGATCCATTCTTGAAATCCCCCGTTCGCTCTAAGAATAGGAGAATTTAAATCCCTCCCCTATTTTCTTTCCCGCTACTTTGTAAGTAGATACCATGAGTGGGTGCGGGGAGAAACATTCCAATACTGGTAGGGAACATACAGCTGTCCATGGTGAACCCCCCTCTGCTGCGTCAGGGACCACTTTATTCCCCCTCTCCTTCATGTTGGGAAAATGAGTCGGGCTAGACCATAGTCCAGATGTAATCCCAGCCACAGCGCCACGAAGGGGGATTTCTCCCAGTTGCTACCGTTGTACAGTACAGTACAGTACAGAGTTCTGCGGATGGACAATACTCCAAACTTTGGGAGACGGGGTATACTAGCAGTCTAGCGATGCAAAAACTGGTCACCTTAACCAATCTTCATTCAAATGCATAATTTTGCTATCTTCTGTGCAATTGCAATTTCCAAATACTTCAGTGTGGCGGTGCAGAATTGCTACCCGGACTGATTGACTGGTGGTACAACAGGTGTATATGTGTTGGTTTCCCGTCCAATACCGTGTTACTCCATAGTACCAGGCTGCATGCTGCTATGCATGCATATATACTTCAAAGTTCTAAGGATCAAATATCAGGTAGGCCCGTTAACTTATACGGTCTTTCGAAGTCATTGTGAGAACGGAATAGATACGGAGCATTTGCAGCATAGTATAAGTCGAATAGTCCGTGTAGACTTTCGTGAGTATTCTGGTACTACTATGTGTCCATCCTTGGTGGCAAGTTTGTGGCTGTACTTGGCGCACTCTCCCTGTCCTTATCAGATCACGAAAGAGCATCTATAGAACAACAACACATACTATTGATATCATAAGAAACTCTTGCCCTATTTGTCTAAGTTGGTATAGTTACTAAATAACTCCAAGAGTCAATTTGCCTACTCATGCGTTCAACAAGAACTTGTGATTCATAGACAGATATAGTAGTCAATGATGATCTTTCCTACTTATCTACGGAGGATTAGATTGTGGCTGACAACCTTAAACTTTACTACCCTGTGTGCTGGTTCATGATGCCGTAAAGAGGCCTCAAAGGCATCGGGCAAGCCTGACTGCGGGTGATACCCCTTACTTCAGTTACATGATAGACGGGTCTCTAGAGAGAGTCGTGGTATCCAACGAATATCACAGTAAGACTCGATTATGCAGCATTATAGGGGGTTGGGAGGAGAAGGGTGACTCTTCCCCTAGACGATTGGCCTTAAAAGACGAAACCCATACCTTAGAAGCTAACTAGTAACTTTTAGTTAGAGGGAAAAAAAGCAAGGGCAAGTTGGTATGGCCACAGGATGGAACAGCTGTCTTTCCCATTATGAGGGTTTGCGTGCAGTTGTAACGCAATCGACATAGAAAGCCAGCCACGAGAAGAGGTGCTAAGCTGTACGAATGAAGAAATTCTTCCTTGCCGGAAGATACTCAGGCAGTATATGACGAACGCCACCAAAAATAAGCAAGGTTTTCTACAACCAGAGGAAAGTTGCTGGTCGGCGGTAAGGAGAGAAGAGAATACTTAGATGGGCTGCTGGAGGGTGGAAGGGAGGCCGGCGGGCGCCCTTGACGTGTTTGGCGTAAGAAATTATTGGTGCGCTGTCCCGGAAATCTTATCCTACCGGCAAGACCAGCTATCACTGGCTCCGTCCTGCCTTGACAGGTTCGCCCCAAAGCAGGCGGACTGCCAGGTCTCCGGGTTCAGTCTCCATGACTCGAACTGTCGTCCACTGGCTCACGCCACTTTCGTCTCCATTCAATGCCTATATCTATTCCATCATCTCTGCTTTGGAGATTCTCATCTGAGTAGATTCTTGCCATCTTCTACTGACAATTTATCGTGGTCTTTCAGAACATATGCTGCTTAATTTTCCAGGAAACACACATTAACGCTGCTGAGGCCACCTCCCCCCCTCCGTGGTACAGGATCTGAACTTCCTTGATCATGCCTTCCGATTGAACCTGTTCTTTGCGACTTTCATCCACGTTCCATTTCATATGACATCTCTATATGACTCGATGCAAAACAATAAGGAAGTAACAATGCCCGCTTCGGCCAATAATGCTATGTCCCGGACTCACAGCCATTGTGAAGTATCCTGCCCCCTGTGATCTAGTACAGCAACGGCTTCCGGGGGCAACGTGAGTCGCGAGGAGTGAACAATGTCCTCTAGATTGCGAAGCATCTCCTTGGCTAACGCGAATCTTTTGCTGAAAGCCACCAGAAACCGACACAATTCCACGAACGCATCCTTAGAATCGTCCTCGTTCAAGGCACCTAAGAAAACAAGGAGACTACTATGGGTGGGCTCGAGTATCTGCCTGGGTATCTGCCGCAACCCATAGGACTCATGGTACGAGCGGAGGCAATGGACAACCTGCTTCGCCGATCGAAGCTGGTATGACCTGGCTTGCTCAAATTCCGATGGATGGGAGGCTGGTCCGAAATGTTGGTGCTCTAGGAAAAATTGGAACACTGTTATGATCGTATGGTGATACCCTATACTAAACTCATAGTCAGAAACGTTGTGCATCACTCGCTCTGTGGAGCTCATCTTCCTTACTACAGGTATAAGATCTGTGGCGGTTTCTCATCGTCGTTTTCGATGTCGTTCGGAAGACTGTCAAGCCATCGTTGCAAGCGAACGCATTTCTTATTTGCCGCTATCCACAATTCGCCAATTGCCATGTCAATCCCTTTGTCGAACAGCAGATCCGGTATGTCCGCGACAATTTCGGTCAAATCGATCAATTTGGTCATGACAAATCGTAGATATGCCGGTTTTTTAATGTGGTCGACTTCATTGAAGCGAGGATACGGTGTCCACATGATTTTATCATCGAGTGCAGTTTGGGGATAAGGCTTGTATTTCGGTGGCTTCAACTCTGCAATCTTGCGACTATGCAAGGACATTTGCCTGCAGGATAAAGACGGTTAGTTAGGCCGATTTACGTCGGGATACAGCCATACGAGTTCAAGATAAAGAGACCCCAAGCAGTGATTGCACAGGCATGCTGCAGTCTAAGAGACATCTTCTCCCACTGGCGGTGTCTCGTCCTCGGAGACGCGAACATGCCGAAGTCCTGTGCGAGCTGTACAGCTTGCCTGAGCATCAGCCAGCTCAAATCGTCTTTACCTCGGAATTTCAAACTTCAACTAGTCAGCGTCTGTCCAGATTTGGTTGTGTAAAAAAAAAAGAAAGGGGTTTCTTTGCAAAAGCCATACAAACGACTCATTAGGGCCACAGCTTGAATATTGGCCAGAGAAGCGCGGCCTTCCTCCGCGTTCCACAATCGCTCTGCTTCCGCATAAAAATGCTCTCCCCGTGACGTCTCATCGTCAGGTATAGCGAAAACCTCTGGAAAGTCGGAATATATCTTGTCGTGGTCAGAATAGCCACTGGAAAGAAGGATGGGAGTAACACACACTTGCCACCGCTAATATACTATTAACAAGCAGCGAGGTGCAGCAATTCGGGTCGGTTTCTTTGGTAGACATATGTTCCAGGAACATCTCTTGATCCAAGACCTGCAATAATGGATGGTCCCAAGTGAAGTATAGCGATATTAGGTGCGAAACGATATGGTCATCCTTAGTCACAGCTGTCCAAGGTCCGGAAGGTACTTGAAACAAGGGACTATCACATAGCTTCTCCACTGTTATCCGCAAGTGGGCATCGACGACTGGGCGCTCGTGCTGTGATGGGATATCTTCCGCGGGTCCGACGCTTTTAGAGTGCTCTGAACTTGCATCACTGAAGTCAGTGACTGATGCGTCAATAACAGTGACGAGGTCATTCAATTGAGCATTCCCACGGATCTTTTCCAACATCTGCCGCGCTTTTTCTTCGTCTGAGGATCGAAGCGTCTCGAGAAGCGAGTATAGCAGGCCTCGGTAGTACTCTAGCTCCCCTTGGGTGCGCCTCGCAGCGACCTTCCGCCTAAGGTCGAGCGTCTCATCGAATATGCATCCCCCGGTGTTTTGGCATGCTTTGCAAGGTGGCGGGCGTCCGCTGCACTGTGATTCTCCTACGTTAGCAAGAAGAGCAAAGAAGGTGATTGGCAGATGAAGAGCAAAGATGCAGGGTCCTCCGAAATGGGCCTGAGTGCTCCAGACTCGGTGAGACACGCCCACACAGTATCTCTCTTCTCCCCTGCCTGACCGTCTTGGTGATTCTCACTGCTTGTAAGAAGAGCTAAAAAGTCCAGGTATTACCTTTCGCTTTGCCTGCTTGCATGGCAAACATGCGGTCGAGTTCTTCCTCGACTTAGCCAATGTGGTTGAACCAGTTGCAACAGGGCCGCGGGGCCCTGGGGCCAGGGAGGGAAGATGTTTGCCTGGGGTTTCGGAATTCATTTCAGGCGACTATGTCCCCTTGGGAAAAGGAAAGGTGGATTTGAGAGGATGGAGGGATGCTACCACATCACTAATTAGTGGTCGAGGCTGCTCTTGGGTCAGTCGAATGGTACGACAGGGAAATCGCAACAAGAGCGTACGGTGATACTTTTGCAATTTGAACCAATTATTCTTGGGGGTAAAGGGCTGCAAAGAAACAAATATCGGCTCAGGAACAGGGGCGAGAATGCTAAATCGCCTCACCCTATCAAAATTTTCGGTATAGCGCGCGATCTTGGTGTTTAACTTTCATGCAAAGAGCAACCTATTCCAGGAATCCTATCAACAGGCATACTTCGTCAAAACACGGATGTCAGCCTTTCGACGGTCGGTGGATGTTGCTGTGGACTTGTGCCGCGGTGACAACAAGACCCAGTGGGGGTTTTGGAGGGGGGAAGCGATATGCCCCCAGGTGATGAGATGGTTCAGCAACTGGAGAACACCATGATACACGTGATCATAGACTTCTTCTATACGAGAGTCTGGGGATGGGAAGGGGCAGGGTTGGCAGAAGCAGAAAGGCTTACCAGATAACTAACTGCCCGGAACCATGACTAACGGGCATCACTTTGAGCCAAAGCGTCTGCTTGGTATGAAAGACCCCTCAGCGGGAAGCAAACAAGCATCGATACCGGTTATTTCTGGGGGCGAGTTCCGGTTCCTAACAAGGGGCCCTGTTTAAAAAGGACCCCAACTACTACAAATGGACAGCTCGCCCGATTTCTTCCCCCAGGGTTCCTCGATGGGCAGAGGTCTGGCAGCAGCGCGAGGCGCAACGGAGCAAGCTTGTCGTGGTATTGGTTACGGCCCTATACCGTTCGTTCCGGCCGATGTACAGGTAATGACACCATGATCGCATCCCCAAAGCAATGACTAGTGTCTAAGTCTCAAGGCGCTATAGGTGAGTGCTTGGGTGTCACTAGCCCAGACGCATGCTGGAAAGCCTGGAAAGTCCGTTTAGCGTGAGATAGCACCTAAATTGACAGGTATGCACGGGGTCCCTGACACCGCAATTGGTTTACACAGTACCCTCAGGCCGTCAAATAAGTGTGCCACAAGGTAGGCCAGGAAGGCTCGCGCCCCATCTTGCCGCTACGGCCGTCGAGTTGTTCCAGTGCACTGTTTACCACGAAAGGATTTCAGGACTCGAATGCATACAATACATGACATAGGTCAAACTCTACTTGCGGGTACTATCATTTCCAGCGATCTTACAGGCCGGGTAAAACAGCCATCGGGCCAGCGAACCGCAAAACAAAGTAAGGGAGAGTTTCTGGGAAAGCACAAGGCAGAGGGGGGGGGGGGGGAGGGAATCGAAGAAGAAGATAAAAAAAAAAATACAAGAAAAAAGAAAAGAAAGGAAAAGAAAAAGAGGCGAGCAATATGGCAGACAGGTTGCTTCCCCCGATATGCAGCAGATACAATAGGTGGAAAAGTTCACCGACCCGCAACACTATGGAATAGCACCAGCTGGAGGACTCCAAAGATCCTAGACTGGTAGAGGTTTGTTGGTCCACCATAAATCAGGTCGCCGGTCCACTCACGCCTCAAAAACGAATAGCTACCGAACCAGACAGCTTCTTACATCAGCCCAGCCGGCTCGCCTGTCAGTCAGAACGGGGCTCGCATCCTCTCACTGCTTCCTTACTGCGCGGCGAGTGATGCTCCGTTCTAGCCTGCCATGGCATGGCCCCGCAGCAGCTTCTCGATGATCCTGGTTAGCAGCTCGATATTGGCGCCTGCTTATGTACCTCGCTCGAACCAATGTGGTTTGTGCGGTGCAGAATTCCGTGGCGTGACGCCTCGTAGCAAATCCGGCTGGGCGACTAACCTGAGAACAGAACCTCTTGCAGTGGGACTATTACCAGAGTCTAGAGCTCTCGTGTTATAAGCTTAAATCGAGGACCAGAGATCTCTCTCCTCTTGACACAGTATGGCATCCACTGGGGCGCATTTGTATGCACCGAGTAGTCATCCTCCTTGCAGAATAGGGTCGGGAGGGGCGCGAGCCTGCTAAACCCCCATCTCCACATAGCACCTGCGGCGAAGGTCGCGCCCGTCGATCATTAATGGTTCAAAAGTTACACTGGGCCGGTCATCTGTTGCCGTAGGATCCTGGGAGGCAACTGTGCATACGCGGCTTTGGATACTCTCAGAGGATCACAATGAATGGGTCGGATCACCTGACAGCCCGCCGCACGACCGATTTGTGCAGAAACGGCCTTTTACATCACTGTGACATGAGCCTGAACTCCCTTCGATCTTCGGTTTGTTACGAGGGTTAACCAGGCTTTCATTCCCTGATGCTGGCCCTCCTCCTTAAATTCGCCACCAATCTCGATGACGGGATCACGAGTGGGCGCGGTTTTGCATACCAGCAGCACGCGATTCCCCAGCATCTCAAATGCCTCGAACTCTGGGGCAACGCTTTTTCGGCCGGAGTCTGCTAGGGGGCAGAGGTTAGTAAGGTACAAGCACTTGGCATCATATACTTCGATCTCCCTGCACCGATCCAATCACCGAGACTCGTCCTTACCTCCGTGGCCTAAGCGCCAATCAATATGCAGACCATGGCCTCCGCCCAATCGAAGGGCAAAAAAAGGTTTACTCCTTAACAATAGCCTACTTTCTGTAACCTCAAGAGGTACTGACGGACAGCTCAACGGCCCGACAATAACATTCTTCTGTTCGGGCACCATTCGGAAGAGAGACCCAAGAGCTGGGCATCCGTGGTCTTACAAGTGTCCGTGGTACAAAGTAGTCTTCCTCTAGACAGTTTCCTCTCTTCCAGTAGGGTTGTCCATGTGGCTCAAATAAAACCCCGAGGCTTCCTGTACCCTTGCGTGCGGTGATTGCAGGAGTTGGCTAATAGGGTTCCAGATAAGCACTCAAGTTACACCTTCTAACGATCTGTTGTCTCCAATCAAGAATGACTGCAACATGCATCGACGGCATTCCAGTCTTTCTGGGTGCTTCTAGCCTTTTTAGCTTCTGCTGAATGTAATACGGGTTCATGATATACGGTTAAGTAGTAGTTATAGTGTGCTTTTTACGTGTTCCGGACGCTCTGACTCGTTCTAACTCGAAAGGTATGTGCGCCTGGGCTTCTGTGGAATGCATCCCACACACCACCTCTGGTTGAGCGTTGGTATGGAGGGCAATGGGATCGATTTACTCTGCGGATACTGTGTTTCATTTCCACATAAACTCACCATGGGACTATTCGACTTGCTATGCAAGTTTCACGGTCTCTGAGCACTAAGAAAGAAGAATCTGTATCCGCTTTCAACGAAAGCGAGAATCATACTCTAAGACTCAAATGGCTGGAATACCACGAAAAAGCGTACAAGCCTGAGTCTAGACGGCCTGCAATAGTAACCAGTCAACTAAGCTACTAATCAATACTTACCCAGGCCGCAAACACCTCCCAGCTAAGTGGAAGAGTAACCTCTCAAGATATTGCCTAATCAAGGCGAACATGACTCCTTTCACCTCCGTTTTCGGAAAGATAAGCCGCCGTCTATCTAATCAGGGAGAGACACCGCCTTCGGTTAGAATCGGTACGAGGGGCTCAACGCATCAAGCCGATTGATATGCATATTATGGAGTCTGATGTCTGATATAGAAATATATCGAATCTGTTACCAAATTGACGCGACAAAGGGACCGACATCAGCCTATCACCGCATGTCCTGTTAATTCGCGCCCTGTCAAGAACAACGGCGGGACGTTGCATATCGCGTGGAGGCTCGGATATCGATGGCAAAAAAGGGAGTTTGTCCCATAGAATCAAGGCACCCGAACCGGCAAGTCAAGAGTAAAAACTTTTTTTCTCGGGTTACCCCCTCCCCTCTGCGGGGATTGTCTGGGTGCTCCTTAAATTCAGTAGATAGAATCAACGGTTCCTCCTCGTCTGTAGAAAAAAAAAGTTTGCCATCTCAATTGCTCTCTCACGACTCGTTTTGCCACCTCACCTTGTCGTGCGCAGGTTTCAATTTCTGCAACTAGTTGGTTTCTCTCCCGCCTCTCGGGTTACGGAACCGAAAGTTGTGACGCATAAGGTACTTAGGATCGCCAGGGTCAGTCACTTGTTCGGTGACTCATAAAGCATCTTTAGTCGCGGGATTCAATTGCGCCCAATCAATTCCGCATATAATACCTTTCATTTTCTCTTTCTTCTTGATCACTTTCCTCGCAATTCATACACAACAACACAATCATGGGTTCTGTTGCGCCTTCTCCTGCGGAGCTCGACGCCTCCGTCGTCAAGGTTACTCGCTCGACCAACCTTCGCGATGTGCCTCTTCCTGGCTCCCCCGAGGAATTGAGCCACTCCCACTGCACCGACCACATGGTCACTGTGCGTTGGACCGTCGCCAATGGCTGGGAAACTCCTGAGGTGCGGCCATTCGAGAATTTGAGCATCCCGCCCACGGCCTCGTGCTTGCACTATGCCACCGAATGTTTCGAGGGTATGAAGGTGTACCGGGGATTTGATGGAAAGCTGCGTCTGTTCCGGCCTGACTGCAATGGCGAGCGTCTGATGAACAGCGCTAAGCGGTCTTCTTTGCCCTCGTTCCGGTATGAGGAGATCAAGCGCCTCATTGCTAAGTTGATGCAGATAGATGGACCTCGTAAGTTGGACCCAATCCGATTTCCGGATGTGACTTCCGCGATTGAGAGAGAACCCTGAAAGTTGAACTGACATCTTTGCTCTTTGTAGGTTGGCTACCCAAGGATCAACCCGGTCGTTTCCTCTACCTTCGTCCCGCGATGATTGGCAGCGGCCCACACCTGGGCGTCCAGACACCCAAGGAAGCCCTTCTTTTCATCATCGCCGTGCCGTGGCCCGACCCCTCGAAGAAGGTGTCCGAGCAGCCTGGCGTTCCGTCTGGGCTGAAGCTTTACGCTTCCCAGCCTGACAGCATCCGCGCTTGGCCTGGTGGTTTCGGATACGCGAAGCTCGGCGCCAACTATGGTCCGTCGTTGCTGGCGCATGGCAAGGCACAGGAGCTTGGGTTCGATCAGGTGCTGTGGCTGTTCGGTGAGGACCGTCAGGTGACTGAAGCGGGTGCTAGCAACTTCTTCGTGGTGTGGGAGAACAAGGAGACGAAGAAGCTGGAGCTGGTTACTCCATCGTTGGAGAGTCAGCTCATCCTTCCGGGTGTTACTCGTCGTAGTGTGCTGGAGTTGGCCAGGGAGCGTCTGACTCAGTCGGTGGGCAAGCTCGCTGCTGTTGATGTTGTCGAGAAGCACTTCACTATTGGCGATGTTGAGGAGGCTTGGAAGGAGGGGAGAATTGTGGAGTCGTTTGTCTGTGGTACTGCTGTGAGTTTTCCTTTCCTCTTTTTCCCTTCTATTTCACTCCGTGTGTATGGTGACTAATTGTGATATTTAGTTCTTCGTCACTCCTGTCAAGCTCATTCGCAACGGAGATGTAGATATGAACATGCAGGAGGCCGGTGCTGAACGCGCCGGATATGCTGCTCAGATCAAGGCCTGGCTCGAGGCCATCATGTTCGGCATGAAGGGCGAGGCGGCCCATGAGTGGGGATATGTCATTGATGGTGAAGTTGAACAATAAACACTAACAACGATGATGGTCATGATGATGATGATGTTTTGTTTTGGGAGGGGAGGGACTTCGAGCCCGCTGGAAGGACTCGTGCAGAATGGATTGTAGGAAAGGTGGTGGGTGAGATTGGGCGGGGTAGCAGGACTGGACTTACTGTATATACTTAACTTATTTTCTCAGGTACTTTTTAGAGTGGAATGATAGACTCATGTGACATGTCACACTTGTTTGGATTTTCCGATGCCATCTCTCAGTAGTTGGCGCCTACTGAGATTAAGTTTCCACTATGATACACTACTGAAAAACGTATGCATATTATCGGTGATCTTTGCAGCCGCATCTGAGGGTTATCGAATTAAGTAGTAATTACTAGTGGAGACTACGCATTCTCTACCCACCTCTGCGTAGTAACTGCACCAGCTTTTAGATACAGATCGAGCCTCGCTGAATAGACCTGTAAGATGAGAACCCACCGAACAAACCGTTCACGAGTAGCGATGATCGATCTAATCGGGCAATATGCCAGCTTCCGATGAACGGACAAAGGCTATGATAAGCTTAATAGCTACTCAAAGAATTTTGAATCAGACAGGTTTCCATATGAATTTCTCAGCTTATGACCCTATACACTACAAGGAAGATTGTCTATACTAACATCCATTTCTAGAAATACCAATATACATGCCAGTAAAGTCTCCTGAGTCGGTCATCGTAGAACGAGTTTACATCACTTTGCCATATTACTATTGGGCGATCTGGTATCGTTCATTCCTCAGAAGTCTTCGATCGTCCCTGCGTTCTTCGATGCGAATCCAATATATATATATCTAGGCCATGATCTCACCCAAATACTTACTAGTGGCTCGTACATGAAGTGGCGCCCTGGCGTTAGGGTCTGGAAACTGGATAGTATTAAGCTCTTGTTTACTGGGCATAAACAGGTTTTCGAACCTTAGTGTATGTAGTATTGGGAATTGTGCTGGATCTATTAGTATATTGCTAGTAACGAATCGTCACGGCTTCTAAGTGAGATTATCTGTACTACTACTACTACTACTACTACTAGTAAAGATAGTATATTCCGGTCCGCTTGAGCTGTAGTACTATAATCACCTAGCAGTTGCTAGTCGCTACAGAGAGATCTACAGTGCCAACCCGGAGACCACAACTACTAGTAACAATAGTTTCCACTACTACAGACTTATACTGTTGTGTTGATATGGTTAGTTAAGATTAAATACTGTCTTGGAAATCATCACACACTGCATATAGACTCATGTATAAGCTCGTTGAAGCCGTCAAGCCTCTCCCATATCTACACGATCCTGCGAGGGATTGTCTCCCAGATCTACCACCATCGGAGCATACTCTCCTAGTTCGTCGTCTTCATCATCATCATGCATATCAAGCTCCACTTCTTCACCATCCTCCAATTGAACCATACCCCGTCGAACAAAGACTTCACGGTTCAGCTCCCAATCATATTCCTCCTTGACCCAAGCCTCGAGCTTGTCAAACTCAGTCTTCACCATTGACTCAGTTCCATCGACGATCTCATGAAGCGACCGTCTAAACTTCACCAGTAGTCTTCGTAGGAACTCACCACCTTCCTCACCATCAAGATCGAACAGCCCCCCTTCAACATCATCACATCTCTTGAGCTGCAGTAAAAGCAACCTCAACACCCCAGCCAACAAGGCCTCTCTGTCCCGTATAGCCGCCCGACACGTCAGAACCAACTCCAGCAGCCTCTTCCACTGCTGGAGGCAAGAGTAATTCATGAGCGTCAAGATCATCAAGAACGCAAACTGCAGCTCCCCAAGCACCTGAGCCTCCCCAACACTTTCATCCCCCCCAGCATCCGCAGAAACCCGATGTATCAAGTCACCCAACGCCCACGAGCGATCCTGCGCCGCCTCCGTCCTCTCACGCCCAATAGCCCCCTCCCGCCACGTCCTCTTCAAATCAATCGGCAGAAACGAGAACTCGCTCTCCTTCTCCCCCGTAACCTTCTCTAATTCCTCCGTCGCCTCCGCCGAATCCATAAGCCCAGGTATAACATCCGTATCCCTCTGCGCCGAGCTAGCAGACGTAACCATCCACCGCGGCCGACCATCCACATCCAGAGCCGGATCGCCCACAACGCGCGTCAAAAGCCGCGGCGTCAATTTATCCGTCAGTTCCTTCCAGGTCTGTCTTCCTTCTTCCTCATCCTCCTCGTCGATTTCAAGTTGTACCGGATGTCCAGCATTCTGTTGCGCCAAAGCCGCCGGTGAGACCCGACTGCGGTACCGGAATAATCCACCCCTTTGCCATATAGCTCCCAGGTTCGCTTTGTGGCGCATCGCTTCTTGTTTGTCTGCGTCGCTGTCGATGGTTAATGGGGCTAGGGTCTCGGTGTCGGTGTTCCATTTCCAGACGATTATGTCTGCGCCGGGGTGCGAGGGGGTGGTGAGCGCGACGCTGCCAGCTTGGGCTTCGTCGAATTTGGTTATGTCACCGACATAGAACCAGCCGCCGCTGCGGAGGGATAGACTTTCTGTTGTTCCGGTGTAGAGGAAGTGCCATCCTGAGGGGAGGTCGCGGATGCCGTGGAAGTTGGGGGTGGAGGTGAAGGTTATTAGGTCGATGCCGACAAAGGTCTTTGGTGGAAGGTGAGGGACAAGGATTGTAGGCGACGGTGAGAGAGAGGATGTCATGTCTGCGTTATGGATATCGTTAAGTGTGGATTGGATATCTCAACGGTGGGATCGCTATGTTTTGTCGTGTCGCATGTGCAAAGATCGGATCGCAAAGCTGACGTCAAATCAGATAGGCCGAGCGGAAATTAATAATGGCGATAATGGTACATGTATGGTGAGCGAGACGTTAAAGCATGGGGAAAATTTCGATAAGTCCAAAAAGAATCGACGTGTAAGAAATTGCGGTAGGGACAGGAAGGTGGAGGGAAGCTCTGGGTAGATCGATAAAATGTGCTTATCTTAGCTTGATTGCGGGATAAGGAGCCCGGCTACGGAGTATCAAAAATCAACGCCTGCCATATCTTTCGGCTCAACTCACAAGCGCAAGATGTGTCAAGGCGCAAGGAATAGGCACTGTCAGGTTGCATAGATTCTATACGTATGTTCGATCTACTGTGATTCTCTACGCAGAAAGTTACAATCAAGGACCATATCAGTTCTAGGTTCATTATATTGACTAGAGCAACCGCCACGAAGACAGCAGACTACCTAAATCCAGAACCGAAAGACACACTTTTGGGTATGTAATAAATTGAAGACCAGGCGATAAAGGCCGTTCTCCGCGTTTATTCCATCCACATACGGCAAGCAAGGCCAAGTCCGCTCCAATCCAACCATGCAGAGAAGCTCCGCACAACTTGGAATAAGTGAGCCCGCACATGCTTACAAACGACGACCACGGCGACCACCCTTGCGACGAGTAGAGTCGGAGGGAGTGGGGGTGACGTCCTCGATACGGCCGATTCTCATGCCGGAACGGGCAAGAGCACGGAGGGCGGACTGAGCACCGGGACCGGGGGTCTTGGTGCCGTTACCTATATCGAAGATTAGTTTTGTCTCCAGAGTTGGTGCTGTTATAGCGCTCGTTCACATACCACCAGTGGCACGGATCTTGATGTGGAGGGCGTTGATGCCAAGCTCCTTGCAGCGAGCAGCAACATCCTGAGCAGCCAACATGGCAGCGTAGGGGGAAGACTCGTCACGGTCAGCCTTGACCTTCATACCACCGGTGACACGGCAGATGGTTTCGCGACCACTGTTATCCCAATCAGTTAGCCAACTGTATCCTGCGCCATAGCCTATGCGACAATTCACGATATCCGACTCCTAGTCCATTGCGGGGCGCAAAATGTTCACCGGAGAACGGAAGTCGGAGTTTCGTGCAGTCGATATTCGGGTACTTTAAGATGTGACGAACCTCAGATCGGTGACGTGGACGAAGGTATCGTTGAAGGAGGCAAAGATACGGGCAACACCGAAAACGAGCTTGCCTGCAATTCAATCTCAGATTAGACATGGTCTCAAATCGTATAATTCGTGAAGCGTGCACTGGGTTGTACATACCATCTCCGGCCAAAGGACCGAGAGAGACGTTCTCCTTGGCAGCACCGGCGGTCTTCTTGGGAGCCATTTTGTCGACTTGCTGGGGTAGTGGGATGGAATATGGAAAGGAAGGAAAAAAGGAAGTCGATAGGCCTCAAATGGCTTGGATACAGAAAATGACTGGTGTGTGCCCTACCCACGGCGGCTCACATTCTGATTGGCTAAGATTGATCAAGGGGTGGGCAAGCGAGTCTGGCAGCCTGAGGCCGCGGCACCGCGGTGAATCAACTCGATGACTCTTTCTGTGACAGGCGTTGTAACGCCGGGTGGGCAGTCGGCCCGGTTTGGTGCTCCCCCCAGCACTATTTAAAATTTCTGCTGCAACCTCCCGAGCTATAACTTTCTTCTTTCTCTTCATATCCAATCAGGCAGACAGTCGGACTCAGTGGCTTTGTCTGCTAGCTTGTTTATTGGCTCAATTGAGCGTGTCGCGCAGCCTAGTTTCTCAACAAACAAGACTGAACGAGGACTAATCCAACCAGCAATCATGGGCTTCACCAAGGAATCAGCCACGATCGGCATCATTGGCATGGGAGACATGGGCAAGATGTACGCCCAGCGTCTGAGCGCTGCCGGATGGAGGTAATATTTAAACAAGTGTCCTTTCCAGTCAGTTGTTTCCGATTGTCTCAATCACCCTGGTGGTGTACCATTTGTAATAGGTGAGCTTCCCCTTCTGTTATTATCTCTCGCTTTTCCCGTTGCTTCTCTCCCCCTCTTTGGATGATGACTTGAGTGCATTTGGCTCGAGTATGGCCTGGTGGTAAGCTTTCCTACCTTGGTAGGTTTGCGACTCTGCTAGACCGTCAATGATGTAACATCTCAGCTACCTATATTTCTTTGTCTGAAACCCAAAGCTATCAACATATGTTTATGATGATTTCTTCACACACTTGTGCATTATGGCCTCGTGCTAACCATTCTGCCAAACTAGGTTTTCGCGTTGTATATTCTTAGAGAAAAGCAGAAACCGGACTGAATTAGCTATACTAACTATTTACTCTTTTTTATCTATCAAGGATTAATGCATGTGACAAACCCGACTCGTATGAGCGTCTTATAAAGGAATTCGAATCTACAGTACGTCCATGATACTTCGCAGCTCGCGCTGTCCAGACATAAACTCATCCTTCATAAAACCAAAAAGCAAAATGTCACTATCTTTCCCAATGGCCACCTGGTTTCCAGAATAAGCGATTACATTATTTACAGTGTAGAGGCCGGTGTCATCGACAAGGTAGTGGAAATGTATGGCCCGTGTATGTATTTCAGTGCAAAGGCTTGCTTGCTGCGCCCTTGTGCATCATGAGAGAATATGCCTGTCTGACTTGTGGAATATCACAAAAGCTACCAAGGTCGGCGCAATTGTCGGTGGTCAAACGTCCTGCAAGGCTCCTGAGCTCGCGGCTTTCGACAAACACCTTCCCAAGGACGTAGAGATCGTATCATGCCATTCGCTACATGGCCCTCAAGTCAACCCTAAGGGTCAACCTCTGGTACGCTGCTGTCTGCCTGCGCCTGCCTCTTTCTGGTTTGGCTTGAGCCTATTGTCGTTCAAGCCAAGATCATGCACAGTACAAAGTATAATAACATTTACGCCCATTTTTGCTTTGTCTAGGTCTTGATCCAGCACCGTGCCTCCGACGAAAGCCTCAACTTCGTCAGGGAAGTCCTGTCATGCTTCGAATCCACGTTCGTTTACCTCTCCGGAGAGATGCATGACCGCATCACGGCAGATACCCAGGCCGTCACCCATGCGGCCTTCCTGAGCATGGGAACCGCGTGGCAGGCCAACCAGCAATTCCCATGGGAAATCTCCCGCTGGGTGGGAGGCATCGAGAACGTGAAGATCAACATTACCCTCCGCATCTACTCCAACAAGTGGCACGTGTATGCCGGTCTTGCTATCCTGAACCCAGCGGCGAAGAAGCAGATCCGGCAGTATGCAGAGTCCGTGACGGACCTGTACAAGCTCATGATCGAGGGCCGCCGAGACGAACTCAAACGCCGTGTCAGAGCTGCAGGGGAGGCCGTTTTCAAAGCGGGTACCAACGGCCAGGATCTGCTATTGAAGGATGAAGTTCTCGACCGTTTCTCCCTGTCAAACCGGGAACGTGAGCAAGCTCCTCCAAACAGCCATCTCAGTCTGCTTGCCATCGTTGATTGCTGGTCCAAACTTGGAATTGTTCCCTATGATCATATGATCTGCTCGACACCCGTGAGTGCTTGTCCCTTGCTTTCCATGGCGTTCCGGCCTCCTTTCTCTTTCTTCCCCGCGCAATATATGCAATGTAACGTTGCTTTAAAGCCAGAGTCTAATCACGGCGCGCGCGTGCAATTGATATAGCTTTTCCGTCTGTGGCTGGGCGTCACGGAATACCTCTTCCGCAATCCCGAACTCCTCGATGCGGCCCTAGACACTGCAGTCGACGACAAGACGTTCCGCTCGGATGACCTGGAATTTACCTTTGCAGCTCGCGTGAGTACCAACCTGTTTAGCTCCAAAAAAGACCCTGGCCGCGCTTGCGCGGTTTTATTCCACTCCAATGGATATGGATGGGCATTAGAAGAACCCAACCCCTCCTCCCAAGCACATTCATGGTGATTTGTACACAACACCACCACTGACGTCATTCACTATAATCGTGCAGGCATGGTCGGACTGCGTATCGTTCGGTGATTTCGAGTCATACCGCGACCGGTTCGAGCGGATCCAGCAGTACTTTGCTCCCCGATTCCCCGAAGCCGTCAAGCTGGGCAACGAAATGATGAAGACCATTCTGGAGAAGACCGCAACGGGCCAAGCCTAGTATAGGAGAAGACACACGAAAGAGATGAAATTCGAGTAATGCCAATGGCTCCTCCCAAAGTCTAAAAGCCCAATCACAAGAAGCCGGCTAGGGAAAGTCGGGTAGCGCGTCTAGAATAGGTGGAAGTCTCTGCGCCAGTCCGGCAGGATCGGGGAGGGGCCAACCCATAATAATCATACTCATAATAACACTAATGATATATTAATAATAATGTGTAATAGGCAGCAACTGGCTCGCTCGCTGGATAATGACGGATGGGAACGACGACAGGTAACAACAGTGGAACTTTGGGAAACAACGTACGGGGATTATCATCCCTTGAACTAATCGCAATCGGGCAAATAAGGGTACTCCTTTGGATTGTTATTGACAGGGTTTCTTTCCCAGATCGAAAGAGAGTCATGGAAAGTCACGGAATTTCTACTATCAGGCGAAAATGGTTATTTTTCTTTTTCTCTTTATTGCTATGGCGCTGTCGTTGCTCCGTGTGGTTGGTGCAGCTCTTGGTATGTTAATTGGGCATGCATGTATGTAGTATTGTTTTTGTTCACGCGCGCGGGGGCTCAGGTCGCTCGCACTCTTTTGCGCACGGAATATTCCACCGTATCGCTATGGGCTGGGCTTTATCCATTTAGGGCAATTCGCACACGTTTCATGGGTCCCGCCATGGCAGTCACTAAGATGCTAAGCCCGGATGTTATTAGTCCAGGCGGTAGCTAAAAGGTACTAGGCTGCTTGGTGTCGTATCTTTGAGAGGTGCCAGAACTCTGGAATGGAGAACGTAGACCTAATTCGATCCCAACAGACTTGAGGAGGGTAGTATCGTTCTTGGTCCTCTTGCATGAATAGATTATCAAGTACAGTGTGAGTGTGTGTGCGCGCGCATTTCGAAGCGACTAGCTACTGCTAGAGCCGAGATCTTATATTACTTGCATGGCCTGCTTTGGGAAAACAAAAGGTTGATCTGTATGCTGCATGACGTTTGGGACGGAGACCCTCCTTTGAGGCTTCAGCCCCGGGTCGTGGGAAGTCCGCAGTTCCGGTAGGGGACATGGATTTACGGAGTACGCCGGATCATTTTGATCGATTGTTCTCCGGATGGATATTAAACTTTGAATACCATAAATCTCGGACGAGAAGAGCAGATGTAAAGACGGATTGGTAGGATTGGTAATGGTCCGGAGCAGACCGTTTTTCTTGGGGCACGTCGCAGGTTGTGCTCGATCGATAAATCTTGGCATCGATGCACTTGCTAAGTCCGAAGCGGTTGGTAGTAGCCTAGCTGGATATTGATAGTTCACGAACATGTCGTATACAAAATTATCTTAAAAGTTCTATCTGAGCGGACCAGGCCGTCTTGTGGCGTAGTGTCGTATGTGCCGGGGTATGCTAGGATGATTACGATCCAGGCTATGGCGCTCCCTGGCCTGCATCGTCATCTGCATGGCCATTGTCTTTTCAAGCCACCAGATGGTGTAGTGGTTGTCAGAGTGGGGTATCACATGGCTGCACTATTTGCATGGCAAAATCTTTTTGCTTGCGAGGTGCTAAGAATAACCGAGCTGTGGACTGATCGAGCCTGGAGGCGTCGGAGGTTTGCGTTATTGGCTTAGTCCGCCCTGGACGAGTCACAATAATGACAGCTTCAGGAGCCCAAAACATAGGGGGCGTCCGACTAAGGTGGTCCTGCTTCTTTTCTGAAACCATGCTGCGCAACCTTTCCCCATACACCTTTTCATGTCTGTACTCCGCTGCACGCAACAGGCCATACTGACTGTCGGTCAACCCATGAAAACGTGTGGAAAGTGCTGCGTTGTCATACTATGCTTTGAGAGACGCGTGGATAGCGTATAGGGATACGGTATCCGTCTTCCCTTGGTGCATAAAACTATGGCCATAGAATAGACTTTTTCTTATCGCCCCCCTCTAGGTTTCCCATTCGCCTCGAACCCCTTTTTATGGGAAGAAAAAGGGTTAAGCCCAGGATTTCCCAACCCAAGGTTGCCCGGCTGTCCTATTTCAAGAATGGTAAAACCGCCGTCTTGAGACCTCGCAATCGGCGAAGAGCTGACCCGTGGAAAGCCAGTAAACGAAGGTCCCGTCTCCCGGCTCAACCATGTGATTGGACCCGTTATCCCGGAGGCCCACCCCTGGATGAGCAGCGAAAGAACGCCCAGGATCGGTGAGAATACGACTGCTTCCGAGATCCGAGAACTTGGTCTTAGCTACGGATGGCGGATGCTGATTGGCAGCGGGGGTCTTTCACAGGATTCGTGCGTCCGAGAAAGTAATGTGGGTGACCACTCATGTTTAGTGACGAAAGGGTCCATGATTGGCGCCAGGAACATTAAGCGGACTTGAGTTCGAGGATAGCAAGTAACAGTGGACTAGATGGCTAGTAGAGAAGTTGTAGCTAGCTAATACACCGGAGCCACTCTGTAAGTAAGAACTCAGTTTTGAGAAAAAAAGGAGATGAGTGGCTACCGATGACGATGCAACAATAATAATGGTGGTGGTAGTGGTGGTGGAAGGGGAGGAAGGGGAAGAAGCTGAGTGAAAGATGGGAAACAACCGGGATACCTGTAGCTTGAATAGAACTTACAGAACTGACTTAAAGTACTCTGATTCTGGTTGACCATTCGGAGTACTTTTACTCCGGTCTCTGGTAAGATCGGAGGCTGGATCAGTTTACCATAGCTTTTCTGGGGATTGAAAACAGGTCAAGAAAGGTGTAACCAAACGCAGAAGCAATCTCCATTCGTCTGTAGATGATGGATGGACCTCCAACCGAACGACGATTGTGTGCCAGCCCAGAGAAAGGGACGGGGGAGAATAACAGAAGGAATAACAAGGGAAGAAGAAGACCTGAGTTGATGGGTCCGGCTGCAGGCTGCAGTCTGATTGATCAGCTGCTGCTCTCCGACCCAATTGGCATGCCCCATCCATTGAACGGTCGAAAATCATGATGCTGGATTCCCGACAGAAGTTCCTTTCGCTCGTTTTTTGCCCCCCCTTCTCTACGCACTCCGTCGGCCTGTCTTTTTTGCCTTCTTACGCTACTACTGTACTAGTGTCTTCCTTCCCTCCCCCAAAATCCACACCACCACCCACCCCCCCAAGAAACCCAAATTCAATCCAGGCTCCTCTCCCGTCTGCAAATAAGCACCCAAACGAAAGTTGCGCATGGACCCAACTCCATGGATATGGCATAGTCCCAGACTGGTTTGATTAAATGTCCACTAGGCAGTCATCGTACCTTGGGATGGAACCCCCCCCCCTCCCCGGCTGCTAGTATGGTTTGGGACATTGCTGGGCTCTTCCTTCAGTGCTCTGTCTGGGCATAAGTTGGCGAGCACAGACCATGTGGCCATTCCACTCCAAAATATGCCCACTGAGAGCCCGGAGAGGCGTGGCAGCTGGGGGAACTTTAAATTGGGAAAAACCCGAGGATTTTCGCCATGGTTGATCTGAGAAAAAATCAAGGTACCCGCTTGCCTTGCGCGGTGGGCATATCTATCTGACAATCGCCCATTTTGATTGACGATCTTCTCCTTTCGTGGGCCCAATCTTGCTTTCTATCGCTGTTGGATCTGAATAGACTCGATTGCCTTCACTCGCTCTTCTGCCCTTTCTGTCTCCCTGGCAGCTGCTAGTCCGTCCATCGGAGGGTGTTTGCCCGCATGGTAGCGTGATCTCCCATCTCTTCATCGTTGTGATTGCCATGCAGATCTGTCGCATGGCATCTGTGGCACATCACTATGTGGCTTAGGACAATCATGCACCTTTCGATTCTTCAATTGCTCTAAGTATGAACAGCCCTTGTTTCCCTTGTTCTCTCCAAACATGGCACCTCTGCTCTAGCAATCCCTTGCCAATGGACGTGACCACGGTACCCCCCCGTCGCCTTCCAGGCCCATTGATGGTTCATGACGAGGATGGGGGCTTTCGGTCTTGTATACCGAGAGAATCCAGTAGATGTCGATTTCCCCAAACGATGCTTGGTCTTTACTGACAGAATCTGTCTGCGCAGTGATGTTTCTTATCTCGTCTATTTCTGAATATCATCAGGCCTCCAGCAGCAACTGCTAAGATTCCAGCATCTATACTCCCAGGAAACCTCCACCAGAAGGTGTCGCCCGCACGCAATCCTGGTTACATTCCATTCAGGACAGTCCTTTTGTGATACTATTCTTTTGGTATCCTTATATTTATTCTCATTGTATTATTCGTGAAGTGGCTTGGGCCCGCTCTCTCTCATTTTTCCTACATCTACACTGATCCGACCATCAATCGCCTACCTTTTCCTTCCTTTCCTCAAAGCCTACCCTCAAACAATCCTTTCTACCATCCAAATGAAGTTCTCAAATATCTTTGCTGCTGCAGTCGCTGCCTTTGGTTTGGGTAAGTGCCTCCTTCTGATATCATTGTACCTGCTGAATTGGCTGACTGTTTTTATTTAGTGCGCTCAGGTTACAGCCAAATAGTCAAGCACAGACCATCAGAAGGTGCAGGTGTCTCCTATAGCATCAATGTGCCTAAGAATACCTCTTTGACGGGCTCCGGCCCCATCTTTCTCCAATTACAGGCACCACCTGGTGTCAAATGGTTTGCCCTGGGTCAGGGGTCCCAAATGACAGACGGGAACCTGTTCATCGTCTATGCGGCATCCAAACATAATGTCACTTTGTCCACTCGGAGGGCAAGTGGCCATGTGCAACCTCTTTATGACCCTAGTATCGAGGCTTATCTTCTCGATGGCTCTGGTATCCACGATGGGGTCATGACGGCCAATATCCGTTGTGATAACTGCACAACACTTGCTAATGGAGAGAGTGCACTGGGCAATTCTAGCTCCTGGATGTGGGCCCTGACGCATGGCCCTCCGCTGGTGTCTAGCAATGTATCCCAGCTGTTATACCAGCATGACTGGCATGGCACTTTCACCTTGAATACCACTTGGGCTGTTGGAGGTAACAATACCAATCCCTTCGTTATTCCGATGGGGACCATGCACGAGCTTTCGGCGTACACTCACCAGCAACAAGTCAGCGACACCATCCTCCATAAGAAACGAATCGCCCATGGCGTGATGACCTCGGTGGCCTTCGTCCTTCTCTTTCCCAACTTCGCTCTTCTTTTGTACATCGTCCCTTCTCGGCGTACAGTACCATGGATCCACGCTCCTCTGCAGCTTTTTGCTGTGCTTCTGGCGTTAGCTGGGTTCGGAGTCGGTGTTTCTGTCTCCAAAGATCTGCAGGAGCTTGGAGGCTACCACCCGGTCATAGGGTATGTGGCAGTTGGGGGTGTTGTTTTGATCCAGCCAGTACTGGGCATCATGCAACATATTCATTTCCGCAAGACGGGAACGAGTTCGCTATATGGCGTCTCCCATCGTTACCTGGGACGGTTTTTCGCGGCCCTGGGCGTCATCAATGGTGGAATAGGGTTTCATTATGCCACTGCCAAAAATCCTGATATTCCTCCGGCTTCCCCTATTGCTTATGGCATAATATGTGGGTCAATGTTTGTCATCTATGTCTCCGTCATCTTGTGGCGGAGATCGAAATCGGCATCGAAGACCTCAAGGTTCAATTTACCCTTCTTTCGACGGCGACAAGAGAAACCGCCGATCGCCAAACTTGGAAACAACAGCGACAGCACACTTTGTGGAAGTGGAGTCGTTGAGACGTCTCGGGAGAAGTCATGGTTGCCATGAAACTCCCGCAGAATATCACGATCATTATCAGCATTTTGTACTATCAAGCGTACATTTTCGTTGGGTCTTGCATATCCGGAGTTCGTCGTACTATAGCATCTTGCCATCTCCATTCTCTTCCGATCTTCTATTCTCACCCCTGTTATCATGTAATATTTCATTGCATCAACAGGATCTCTCACTTGTCTTCCACCCCTACTTTCGCTAATCTCATGCATTATATCTCCGAGAGATTCTTCTGTATATATACGAGCTAGCTCGTTTGACTGCTTGCCATGTGTTCCATGACTATGTTGGTCTTTCGCGAAAAGGCATCGATCACGACGCCCAATCAATCATATTTACTAGTCAATCATCTCGAAGTGTATCGTTAACAAGTTAGAGAATAAATACACATAAAATGCTCAAATATATGTGAGCAATCAATAGTGGAGGCAACAGAAGCGACGATAAACAAGCTACTACTCCGTAGTATCTACTAGGCTAAGTTAGTTAGCCTGAGGCGATAAGAGCGGGTTAGTCAGCTGGGGATCCAGCCTGAAACCACCAGCGGTGGGATTGGAGAAAGACCCCGGTCATTGAGGCAGATTACTTGCTTCGTTCTCTAACTAGCATCTAGCGTTGTCATCTGCAGCCTGTGCTACATGTGATTTAGTTCCTAGACGCCCTCAACCTTCCCGATCCCTCCCCCCTCCTCAGCCTCACCACCTTCGTGACCGCCGTGATTTTGTTTCCCCTCCCCTCCCTTTTGAGGTGCCCGCCGTCAGCGAACACGCCCATCGAGAGCAGTCGGTCTCCAAACACCCCGGGCAGCTTGATCGCTCCGATAGTGTCGGTGTTTTTGTCGGCGAACTCAATGCAGTCCTCCGTTCCCTATTTCAATTGCGACAGGTGATACGCACTCCTCTCTTGCGGCTAGATGGAGCTCTATGGCGTCCGGACATAACTCAGCGTTCTCCGCGACGTCAATCCAGCACCGTGCTGTGGGTGATGGACGGTCATACAATAGCTTGGAGGATAACACTGCAGACGGTAGCTGGGCTGAGTCCGCTACGCGAACCGGACGAAATGCTCGTTCGGAGTCTGGAGGCAGTGCGACCATTGGTCTCCGGGGAGGGTCATTAGCCCCTTCTTCGGGGGCCCCTGGTAGCTTCAGCTCTGAGCTTAAAAGCATGAAGACATCGCGGAGCACGACCCCTCGACCCGAAGGTGTTCCCGCACGAAGACCGAGCAGTTTAACAGAGCACGATGAGTTGTCCAGCACCGAGGAGCGCCAGGCCGTGATCCGGGACAAGATCGCAAAAGAGATGAAAATAAAGACGGGGACGGAAAACATGCTCGAGGCGCTCCTGGCGAAAAATCCGAAACATACCAAAGATCAGAGGCTAAGGGTGGAATCGGAGTTGAGTTCGTCCAACCGCAAGCTTGCCGAACTACATCATGAACTGGAGGAGGAAATGCTACGTGCGCAGGCGCCGTCCACCCCTCCCCGAAGTCGCCTTTCAAGCCTATTCCAAGGTGGCCCGATGCGTTCGCCGACTCGGAGCAATATACCTATCGAGGAGCAGCAGATCCCGGAAGGTGAAGCGGAAATGGAATCACCGACATATGTGCTGGCGGAAACACTCCAGGCCCTGGAAATCGAGGGCATGTCCCCAGATTATTACGTCGAGCGTGCGAATAGCCTGGTGGAACTGTTCAAGAGACATCCTACTTTGAAGTACGACTTGGAGTGGTCGGTGTTCGGGCTCCGCGTGCAGATAATGCTCTTAAGTGACAGCAAGGAAGCCGTGGCCGCAGGGTATCGTTTGACTCGGTATGCCATCGCGGATCGGAAGTCGTTGCAAATTATTCGGTCATTACATACAGACGAGCTGGTAATATTGTCCCTTGTCAAGGAAAGCAAGGCGAGCATCGAGCGTGAGCAGGCCTTGAAGTTTGTTAGAGCGTTTTTGGACGTTAAGGATGGCGTTCGGGAGATCTCGCGTGCTGTGGTCAGAACAATCGTCTCTGTTGCCGAACATTACGAGGACCGCCTCCGAAATATTTCCATCATGACTCTAGCTGAGATCTTGGTGAAGGATCCGGCCCTAGTCGCATACTCTGGGGGCTTTGCCACTCTGCATGATGCTCTCGCCGAGGGGACTTTTGGCGCCTCAGAAAGTCTGATAGCGAGCTTCCTTCATGTGCTCGATACCCCTCATAGCAGGAAACATCTCCGTGGAGGGTGTGAGCTAGAGGCTGTTCTCGCACCGTTCACAGACTCTTTGTCGGATACTGTTCGCAATGGGCGCCTTAAATCTTCGGCTAGGGCGATCTCTGCCATGCTCAAGACGTGGCCAGGATTGATAGTTCTCGCAAGAAATGGGGCCCAGCCTTTGCAATCTCTCTTGGACTCGTTACACTACCCTGACCCACAGGCAAGGGATCTTATTATGGAGCTTCTGTTCGATGCGTTGAGGATAAAGCCACCTTCATGGTCCTCCTCATTCCTCGCTGGTCGCAGATTGACAACTTATGGAAGAGTGGCTAATCTCAGGACGGAGACCGATACAAAGCAAGCTCGAAGCTTCTATGATGACGATGGAAATAGGTTCGACTTGACAGCGCATTTCTCAACTCTCATCCTTGCAACCCTGGTGGATGCAGGACTATCCAAGGTCGGTCCTCTCAGTTCTGAATTATGGTAACATATTGACACGGTGCAGGCTCTTTCCGATCTCATTGAGGATGAAACGGATTTGTCTCTTAGACGCAAGGCGACGTTGCTTCTGACCGAAGTCCTAAAGCTGGCACATCACTCTCTGCCCCAGCATATCAGTGCGAAGCTCCAGGTCCTCCCGCATTTGTTACCAGCCGCTATACAATTCGACGTCGATAACCACGATGTTTCCACCTCAACCATATACCAGATCGAAAGCATAAATAGAACGCTGGCCCGCTCTGTAGGGGGCGTGTCAAATGGAGCAGGGCGTTATAACGTCGACGTTGACATATCTGCCTCTCTACTTACTGGCGACCAAGGGAAGGAGAAAATGAGTCCTGCCATGGATGAGACCCAGTTCCGAAATGCGATCCTGGAGACTCATGTTCTCAATACTGTGAATTACCTAAAGTGGAAGTGGGACTTGATCCACCGTATTGTTGAGGGCCCTCTGACCAACCCCAAGAGGCTGGAGGAAGCGATCAAGGGCTCAAAGTTCATGAAACGACTCATGGGTTTCTACCGGCCATTCAAGTATAGGTTTTCTATGCTGCCGAACACGAAACCAAACCAACGTTATGTCCGCACTGGCTGTGCGCTGATGCGCACGCTGGTGCAATTACCAGAGGGTACTAAATACTTGGCCGAGAACAAGTTCTTGAGACAGGTTGCAGAGTGCCTTGCTCAGGTTGACCGCATGAGCGGACTAACATCCTCCTCTCCATTATTTTCGAAAGAACAAATGACCAATACATTGAGCGGCGGATACTTTGCGATGCTGGGAGTCCTCAGTGGCGACGCCAACGGGCTCGCTATGATGGAGCGTTGGCACATGCTCAACATGTTCTACCATATTGTTGAGCTTCGGGATCGGGACGACCTCATACAAACACTGCTCGGCAACATGGACTATGCCAAGGAAAGTCATCTAAGGGTCATCCTCTCCAAGGCACTCACTACCGGCTCAAAGGAGATTCGCATATTTGCGACCAGACTCCTTCGGAAATATGCGGTTGGCAACGTTCCTCTTTCCTCGCAGTCGGCCACTGGCAATGCCGACTGGGTGGTCAAGCTGCTAGTTACACAGCTATACGACCCTGACGTGTCTGTATGTCAAGTAGCTGTGAAGATCCTCGAAGAGGCATGCAACCAGCGTCACTATCTCGAGTTCGTGGTCAAGTGTCGCCCTTCCCTCGATCACTTGGGCGAAATTGGTGCGCCGCTGCTATTGCGGTTTTTGTCCACCTCAGTTGGGTATCATTATCTGGATGGTCTCGATTACATCACACAGGAGATGGATGACTGGTTTCTCGGCCGTAATGACGCATACGTGGGCCTTGTTGAAGCCGCGCTCTCGCGTGCCTACGTCGATCAACCGCGTCGGAACAGCTTTGTCCCTGAAGATCTTGTAGACCTGCAGGATATCGGATTAGTGCCTCCCCATTTCTATAGAGAACTCGCTCGGACAGCGGAGGGATGCAAGCTTCTGGAGCAGTCTGGGCATTTTAATGAATTTGCATGGACCATCCGGGATTTTCAGCTTGATGAAGAAGACACAGAGGCTCTTCTCAAAGTCAAAGGCTGCCTTTGGGCCGTTGGTAATGTGGGCTCCATGGAGCTCGGTGCGCCGTTCCTTGAGCCTGATATTGTCCAGCACATTGTGAAGATCGCTGAAAGCGCGGAGGTTCTGACGATGAGAGGAACGGCCTTCTTTGTTTTGGGGTTGATTTCGCGCAGTCGACATGGCCTTAAGGTCTTGAGAGATTTCGGATGGGACTCTGCTCTCGACCATAAGGGAAACTCTTTGGGGCTGAGTTTGCCGACCGACTTCAACAAGCTCTTTTTGGTATGTCCCCATAAGCCAGTACCAGCGTGCAAGCCACTGATCGTTTTAATCTTACAGGTTGATTTCCCGAGCCATTCCCGGAACCCTGACTCGAAGCGCACATCTCAGGAGAAATTCAAAGAAGCCGCTATGGACACGGATCCGGCCAACCAGAAGATCTTGAAGTTGATAGTCGATATGGGCAATACCGTGCTATCCAAGCGGGCTGCGGCAGACCTCCATAAGTAAGCATTACACCTAATACGCCTAATATACCCAAATGCGATAGAAGCTAACATAAACCGAACCAACAGTCTCAAGTCGAAACAACCCGATTGTTTCCATCAGCCTCACCTTTTCCGCAAGACCCTTAGTATCCTCGAAAGCCACCACTTCCGACTGCCTGCACGCCGCTTTGCCTTGGACTTGTTTGACAAGAGCGTCATGCGACGCATAGTGTTAGAAGATGATTCCGATTCAGACTCGGAGGCATCGTCTTCCCAAGTATCGAGCTAGGTGGTGGGTGCACTGGCGCGCTCCGAGTCTCTCGCAATGGGCTCTTGTACGCTTTGTTCGAACAATCGTCCTTTTTACGAACTATCATGCACCAAGCTAGACCACAAGCATCCGATGACCTCACGTTTGGAAATCTTCTTTCTTAGCCACCCCCTTTCTTTCTGTCTTCCTGGCTATGGCGTTGGATGGTTCCGGTCATGAGCAACGAAAGGATGTTAGCATATCATGTTCTGCTCATTTCTACCTTGTTTTCCGGGCTCTTTTGCCGTTGATCGGATACCTTTATCTGGGTTTCTTCTTTATCCGTGCTTGCATCAAATCGAGAGTTTTTGTTCACGGGGGTTTGTGGGATTTCTGCATCAATGATCACCATCATTCATCTTAGGAGTGTCCTTTGCCTCGTTCATGGGGCACATATGTACTGTATATATTTAAAGATTACCATTTACCTTTTCAAACCCATGGAAATTCAGCAATGCTTGTTGCCTGACAACTAGCAGCTACTCAAAAGGAAAGATGTCTTGGCTGCCCGCCATGACATCGAAGGCGCGTCCCCGAACCTCGGATGACGGCCAGAGAGAGCTCCGGGAAACCAACCAGTCCAGCTCGTCTCCACCCGTCACTGAAGTAAGCCCAACAAAACATTAATCAATCAATCAATATAAGCGCCGACCGACCGGCCGACCCTGGCCTAGATTTCTACCTTATCCTTTATATCTAGGACCCTCCTTCTCTTCTTCTCTCCATTCCCCACTCCTTTAAGTACCAGAGAACCCCCATGGAAGATGCCACCATGCCCACCTCTTCTCCACCTCCGCAACCCAGAAGCGCAGAAGAACACGACAGCGATGATCACCACCAACACCTCTCCTCCACGTTGAACAGCTCACGCGACAACGGCCCGCTCCTCCCCGCACATTCCATCATCCGCTTCATCCAATGCCCGCGCTGCTCGTTACCGCTCCGAACCCCGCTGCGCCTGCCGTGCGGAAACACAATATGCAAGTCGTGTCTGCCGCCGATTCGGCAACGGACGGGGATCACTTACCCGGCCGATGAGGAGCGGAAACAAGGGTTTACGTGCTATTGGGGAGATGCGGCGTGCTGCTCGGGGGAACACTGTCTGGGGGATTGCGGGACGGATGTTTTGTTGGGGAGGGTGGTGGATGTGTTTGAGGAGGTGTTGGGGAAGGTGGATGGTGGTGATGATAGTGCTGGGTGGTGCAATGTTAGGTGGGAGAGCAAGAGGCTGAGGAGCGAGTCTGAGGCAAAAGGGACAGAAACTGAGACTGAGACAGAAACATGCGTTGCTAGGATTGGGTGCGATGATTTGTTAGGGGGTGTATATGGGTTGGTCAAGCAGGGTCGGGTTGGATATGATGATTTGCTGGAGATGGAAATCGTCGCTACTACGTCTTCTGAAGAGGGTCGGGGTCTCCAAAGACAGGATTGTGAAGGGCAACAATCATACGGGAGGTTGAAGGAGGCAGTCCGGGCCGAATTGGACTGCCAGGTCTGCTACTCGCTTATATTGGATCCATTGACGACTTCTTGTGGACATACATTCTGTCGCGGATGCGTGGCTATGGTTCTAAATCATAGTGATCTGTGTCCGCTTTGTCGGCGCAAGTTGAATATGGCTTCGACGGTGCGGGCTGAGCCCGCTAACAGGAGGATCTCGAATCTGGTGGAGGCTTTGTTCCCTGAGCAGGTTGCATCACGTCGCGAGGGTTCCTCCAATGAAGATGGAGTGGCGGCTACGGGAGATGGAGAGCGGACTATCCCCTTGTTCGTGAGCTCGCTTTCGTTCCCGACTATGCCGACCTTCCTGCATATATTTGAACCGCGATATCGGACTATGATTCATCGAGTGATGCAGACGAGGGATAAGAAGTTTGGTATGGTTATGTATAATCGCTCTGGTCGGCTGCAGGAAGGTTTGGGCAGGGCTCAATTCATGCAGTATGGTACAGTGCTGGTGGTGGAACGGTTCGAGCTACTCCCCGATGGAAGAAGCTTAGTGATTGCGTCGGGAGTGTCGCGCTTCAAAGTGATCAGCTTTGAGATGGTGGATGGATACCATGTTGGTAGGATACAGCGTGTGGATGATATTGCGATATCTGAGGAGGAGAGGCTAGAGTCTTTAGAAACCTCATCATCAGAAACAGAGGAATCGCTATCACCGGCGTCATCACCACTGGAGTCTCTGCCCACGCAGCAGCTATTCCAGATTGCCTTGGATTTTATCGACAAAAGCCGTCGCGAAGGAGCAGCATGGCTCCATCCGCGTGTTTTGCTAGCTTACGGCGAGGCACCTACTGATCCGGCTGTGTTTCCCTGGTGGTTCGCCTGCGTTCTGCCTCTTTGGGAGGATGAGAAATACCAGCTTCTAGCGACGACAAGTGTCCGGGATAGATTGAAGAAGGTTGTGCGGTGGGTGAGGAAGTCAGAGTCTCGAGAGTGGTAGGTAGATGATCGGTCCGCTTCATCTGGACTTTTCTTCCACATCCTTCCTGGCTGGCGCTCACAATTTCTCTTGACAAGGTTGGCTCGACCCCGACCATCATTCGCCTCGGTCTTATGACTAGCCGTCCCTCTCCTCGTCTTTTCCCTCGTGCCAATGGTTCTGAGCCCAGCTTTGACATACCTAGCGCCGTCTGCGGGAGTCTTTACGTCCTTCACGCCATTCTCCATGTCAGTCTCCATCTCGTTTGGGTCTCCTCGTCCAGTTGATCCTGATCGCCGGCAGCGGGCGCAGAATCAGGATTCAGGAGGAAGCTATATCCCACAGACTCTTGTAATGGGGATCTTCTTGGCTATCTTTGCGACGCAATTGGCGATCAATGTCGTCCAAATTCGGCGAGCCAGACGGCGAGAACCACGCTGATAGATATGGACAACGAAAGACAAGACGAGGAAGAGGGACCGCACTCATTCACGCCAAGGTACGGGCTAATCCTTGACGTATCGAAGGCGCTGATAGTACGCGATAGCGTTTATCGGTCCTTCTACTAGTTGACCTTCGTGGCGCCCAGCCAAAGTCTGTGGCAGCCATGGTTTCTCCTCAAAAGCGAGGAATATAAATATACCCCGTCCTAGCTGGTGGCTGGTTGCCGCAGGGGCATACCAAATTCGGGAGCTATCCATCGCATCGAATAGGTGGGCTAACGCCCAGCTCGTAGAGTCTGGTGCGACTCCATGCAGGCATGGGATTCTTTTCTTTTCTTCTTCTTCTTCTTCTTCTTCTTCTTCTTCTTCTTCTTCTTCTTCTTCTTCTTCTTCTTCTTCTTCTTCTTCTTCTTCTTCTTCTTATATCTCCTATGATCGGCCGATGACAGGGTCGACGGGAACTTACAGCTTTCTGCAAATAGAGGGGTAATAGGAGGGTTTAGGGAGGTTTCAGGCAACTAACTGTTTGGGAATCCCTGCATGTACGTTTGAGAGAGCGCATTGGTGGTGGAACTGGAAGAACCAACCCGTAGCTATCTATGCATAAAGTAGGAGCGAATGCGCCTTGCGTGCGTACCGCAGTTGGTGGAGAACGCTAATGGCGAAGCCTGATAAGAGAACAATGTTGCCTAACTGGCAGGGGTAGAGCCTCTGAGCCCATATCCAAACTCTGACTTGTCCACCGCAATGCAGTGCTGCTGCGGCCGTGTGCCGCTGAGCTGCGCTGGTTGGTGGGCGTTGGTCGCACAAGCGCTGCGGTTGAGAGTTGCGACGCTAAACCACCCAAGCGTTGCAGGATGGCGAGGAAAAAAGCAGAGAGCAGATGCAGCTCATGCAATCCTAATCGCCCTTTCCCATGACGTGCCTCGTCGCTTGCCTATTCGGGCCCCATTGAGTCTGGTTCGCCATGCTGTCCCTGATGCGTTGGCTTGCCAGTTCCCCCGGTCGTTTCCTTCCTTCTCTCTTTCTTTTCGTCTTTCTTCCTTCATCTGCAATTGATCCGCTGTTGCATCTTATCTGCAGTCTTCTTCTTTATCACTTTGAAGTATCTCCCTACGCGTGGAGAGCCCACGGTGAGTAGTATATCCCGACTGTATAGTGTACTGTTTTTCACCGGCAGGATGAAGATGGGAGAAAGATACTAGAGACACCGAACCAACATCCTTGTAGAGGAGAAAGAGAAAGAAAAGAGAAGAATGAAGTAAAGACAAGAAATGGGTCGGGTGGTCCATCGTGCTTGCGAAGTTGATGTGGAGCGACCTTGAATTGGAGATATCAACTTCCCTTTCCTCCTCTTCTCCCCTCTACTTCTCGGCTCTTCGTTTCCACAATCTTCTCCTGCACTGCATTTCAGCTTCTCTTTTGCATCTTCCAGGTGAAGGTCGCTCAAGCTGACAGCTTCTTCCTAGTATCATCTCAATGTCTTCTTCAGGTAAGCTTGGCTTCATCTACATTCCCAAGCTGCTGGCGGATTGCCTGATCTTTACTAAAATCACCCCACACCCCAGATTCCCGTACTATGGCCTCGTCGACCTCATTCACGAGCCATCCCAATAGCTATATGCCTCGAAGGTGAGTGACATCGACATTCTAATCGCTTGCTGTCTGCAGCTCTAAGCTCGTGTTTTCTTGTATACTGAGATATGTACTTATCCGACTGACTGGTATCTAAACAGACCATATGCTGTGAGTCCCCTCAACTGCTCGCTTAGAATCCCGTCAATTGCGAGCTAACTTGACGATTGTGCCATTATACAGCAACTCCCGAGCTATAAAAGTACACCGTCAAACGCAGAAACCGTCACCATTCCCCGCTCGGAATATGATCGTCTGGTGAGTGCAATGTGACAGGTCCAAAATGGCCCCTCACTGACCGGTGACACTTCGCAGCTCCAAGACTCGCAACATTTCGGTACGCGACCGCCTCTTATTTATCTCATATCTATCTCGACAGCTGACATTATTATTCCAGCTAAATTAAGAACCTCGCTCCTCACTGGAGGGCTGTCGCAAGAGACTCTTGATGTCAGGACACGCCCACTAATTGGCGTATATTTACTGACCTATACAGGTATTGATTTACGGTGCTGCTCAGCAGCATCCTCACCAAACTGGCCGCGAAGATATCTCTCAAAACCCAGCGAATTCCAATGCGACGCTCGAGAACAAAGCTCCTGGTTGCAATAAGCACTCAGATGTGAAAGTTCATGACCCTGAAGAATTCGACGTTGGTGACGATGAGGACGACGAGGACGCTCTGCTGGATTCCCATGACAGCGACGACAAGGGTGACTATGATGAGTCTTCCAGAAGTGCAGGATCTTCTCCTACTCCAAGCGCCCAACGTACCGTGTTAATTCGGAATCTTCCCGACCGCATCACCCACAGAGACATCGTCGCAGCCATAAAGGGCGGAGCCCTACTGCACATCTACTTACGTGCGCGGGAACACATGGCCAGTGTGTCTTTTGTCGAAGAAGCGGCCGCCCGTGATTTCTTCCGGACTACGAAGACCTACGGTCTCATTGTTGCTGGGAAGCGCGTAAGTCCTCTATCCGGCAAACGGTAGCGCCGCTAATAGGTACAATAGGTGGAAGTAGGTTGGAATGACAGACAATTCTACCTTCCTCCCTATGTCCGGGCCAAAATTGACAATGGAGCATCGCGCAATCTAGTCGTCTACAATGTACAGCCGAACGTCACGGAGTGGGTCATCCGGAAGGATCTGGACCATATCCATAACCTAATCGTGATCTCGGTACAATTCAAGAATGGCAATGCCTACATCTCCACCAATTCAGTGCATAATGCGCTTTTTGCACGCTCCTGCATGATGTCTCGGTTCACATACAAGGGCATGAAAATTGGGTTCTATCCGGACGAGTGCGTAGGGTCCCCGGGGAAGTATCCCAGGAGAGAACCACAAACTCTAGCAAAGAAAACCGGCTCCGTGCCGAATCGGTTTCAACTTCTGTCCCTGGATGGGGCCGATGATGAAGACGACCATAGCAATCATGATGGACTGGGAAAGATGAATAATGGAATGCGATGGGCTGATAATAGCGTATCCGCCTGACTTGTCACCTCTCCTCTCTTTTTTTCCTATGTATTTTCCTTGATTCGTTGCGCTACCAAATAGTCGAGCAGCACTTTACTTTTAGGCAGGACTAGTCATCAAATCTGGGGGATCGCTAGTACTAGGGTGGTGTGTTGCGTGGAGGGGATCTGGCTTAACGGCACGAAATGATTGATCAGGCTGGACGGGCAAACGTGATGGGATAAGCAATAGCGAGTGGGGTGAGAATGAAACCAGGTGGCGGGTGATCTACGAGAGGGATGGCCAGACTGATTGCCAGATGCTATCATGTACCGTGGCGAGTGCGTAATCAGTCATTTACAACGGTGCATCCGTGATAACGTGCGTTTGTATACTAATCCGACGCACGGACGTCCAATACAAGTTCAGTGGCAGGGCTGACGACAAAAAAAGAAATTGGGTGATATTTGAGATAGTCCAGGCATATACTAAATAACAGCCTAAGACCGGGGCCAGCATTGCACCATAATTTCCAAACACAGCCACTGTAAACAACCCAAACCATCCTCTTATTTGATTGAATTGTCTGCAGCGGTGGAATGGGACCACCACACCAGATCTCTCTCTTCTTCTCTCCCTCACCCCAGTAAGTACAACCGTTAAAACGACAAACAGCAACAACAACACCATCCCGCATAATATCCCATTTCTGCCCCACAAAACAACCCTCATAACCCGGCCATAATCATAAGAGGGGGAACGTTATAGGAAAACTTTTTTAAGACCGACCCGAGCCAAGCAAGCAAAACCCGAATCGTAAAAGGGGAAGCATAACAGCCGGGAAAAGAGGGGCCCCCAAATCCATGATTTCCCTTCTTTCGAAACGGAAACGGAACGGGAAACAAAGAAATGAGACAGGAAACAGGAGAGGCGGAGCAAGCTTGTATGTGTGTATATTGTTGATGTATAATGAAGCCGTTTAACGGTAGGACTTCTGGTAGCGAGCGCGGGCACCACGACCACCGAACTTCTTGGGCTCCGTACGACGGTTGTCGGCGACGAGGAGTGTGCGGTCGTACTGGACAAGAGCCTGCTTCAGCTGGTTCTTGGAGTGCTCATCGACGTACTTCTGGTAGTAGGCGACGATGGACTTGGCGATGGCCTGACGGATGGCGTAAACCTGGGAGGTGTGACCACCACCGGAGACGCGGACGCGGATGTCGACACCGGCGAACTTGTCGGCTCCAACGATCAGGAGGGGCTCGTAGACCTATTTCATTGAATAATCCTGTCAATTACCCCGTCCATGGCACTTCGTAAAACCCGACGGGTAGGTGAGTGTACCTTGAAGCGGAGGATCTCAGGCTGGACCAGAGAGAGGGGCTGGCCGTTGACCCGGATCATGCCCTTGCCTTGCTGTAGTTGGGAAAAAACGAATCAGTTTTGACGTTCTCCTTCTTTCCGTTGCGATCTGGTTCATCTGATATATGCGGTGCGGATGCAGATGTGTCGTTCGGTTTGGTTGCGCATGTCTTCTTCACTTTTCCCTTCACGTAATTGATCTTCCTTCAAAATTTCCTTGTGCCGTGTCGTTCTTCGTTTCGATACTCGATAACGCTTCCCCCGTGCTTCCGGGCAATCCACAAGCTTCATAATCCTCCTTAAATGTCGAATGATACCCAGATCCTTCCGAACCTCCAAGACCAATATTGACCAATTCGAACGACACATCGGCATCCGCAACACGATAATCCTAGACCAGGAGATATAGATAGACAGAGAATGTAATTCTCATACCTTGCAGTGGGCGACAGCGGTGGCTAAAACACATCAACCGTTAGCATCCCAAGTCACACCATATCCCATCCAAACCTCCAATCTTCAAATCCACCCCATTTATATCACCACCAAAATTATAGAGGAAAACTCACCCGTCTTCTTCTTGCCGAAGCATTGCACACTCGGGACGGAAGCCATGATGGGGAGGCGGCGAAGTGTGCTGGGTGGTGGGAAGTAAGGTAGACGGTGTCGGGGTCGTGGAGTATTTGTCGTCGATTAACGGAGTCGCGCTGTATTAATTTTCGCTTCGCACAGTCAGGCGGTGCGATTTCTTCTTTGGGGCTTGTGGTTTTGCTGACTGTCCAATTCCTGTGTCTCGCTTAGTGCGCCGCGCTAGGCCGCTTTTGGTGGCTAAGGTAGGGCTTGCCGATGGGTTGTCACGTGATGGGGAAAGTTCGGACTCCGGATTGAGGCCATATGGAGAAGGTTGTATGTATGTTAGGTTGATTGATTGAGTAAGGCATAGCTATTCGTTTTACGTCAAGATGTCGCAGACTGTTGGAAAGGTATACTTTTCCCCCTTTCCTTTTTCTTCAAACTTCCCCTTCTTCTCTTCTTATCCATCCACTGTTGCTTTCCTTCTGCATCTATTCAATGTCTAACTTGATATCAAAATAATCCCATATAGACCCGTCTCGCCTTCTCCCGAACATGGCACTACGTCGACGTCGGCAGTGACCCTCGCAGTCTGGGTAGACTCGCCTCCTCTATTGCCCTCACCCTCATGGGCAAGAACAAGCCCGTCTATGACCCCTCCACGGATTGTGGTGACTATGTCGTCGCCGTCGGCTGCCACGACCTCCGCGTCACCGGCAAGAAGCGCTTCCAGAAGAAGTACTACACTCACAACACCCGCCCCGGTAGTCTGCGGAGCATGACTATGGACATGATGTTTGAGAAATGGGGCGGTGGCGAGGTTCTCCGTCGTGCTGTTCGCGGCATGTTGCCCAAGAATCGCTTGCGGGATAAGCGCTTGGCTAGGCTGAAGAGTGAGTATACCTTCTCTTAAGTTATATTGATATCAATTGGATATATATTTGTTGCCTCCTAGTTCTGGGGGAGGCTTGGGGCATATGTTATGTGGTTTGAGAAGGATGTATGCTAATAACATTGTTGTATAGCTTTCGAAGGTCTCGCGCACCCCTACAAGGAGAACATCGTCAAGCTCAACGGACAGTCGGTCATTGGGAACTTGCCCGAGGTGAAGGAAGCGTTTAAGGCGGNTAAGACGGATGCGTAATTGCATTGTTTTGTCTGCGCATCTGTCGACTTGCTGGATCGGATACCATTTTACCATTTAACCTCTTGTACTTTTACATATGTCATTGATATTGCTGTTGTCATGTTATGACTTGCTAGCGCATGGGTGGGAGTTTTGTGATATTATTTTCTTTCTATCTTTTGTGTGATATATCTTGTTTATACTATTACTAGCTACGCTACACAATTACAACAGCTTCGTGGCATCTCTACTGGAGTGCATTGACCAATGGTATATGAGAACCTGTGAATGATGCTATTATCCCTAACCTATATACAAGTGCCAGAACTCCATCTCATAACTGCTAATGCAATACTACAAACCATCCTACAGCTTCGCCTTCGTGTTGCGACCAACCGTGCACTTGATCAGCCCGTTCGGGTTGGTCTGCGGCGCATACACCTCGGCGTCCTTGCCGGTGTTCTTCAGGCCCTTGTGCCAGCTCAGGTCTGCGACAAACAATGGGTTAGCCGAAATTCAAGACGAGGAGATATCAACCAGACGAATTACGTACCAACTTCAAAGTAGTGCTTGTTAGGCAGAGAGTACTCGACCGTCTCGAGCAAGGACTGACGAGCCAGGATCTGCTCCGCCATCTTGTACATAGTGTTCTGCACACTAGCCGAGTTGTCCTCGGCAAAGGTCTTAAGGGTGATTTCCCTGGCCGCCGCCCAGGTCGCATCGAAATGAGGCACAGTAGCGCGCACCTCGTCCAGCCCGCTGAACCGGCGCCACTGCCAGCTGGCGTCGACATCGGTGCTGAGAATACGATCCCATGTCTCAGGGAGTGTGGTGTACTCGTCGCGCAGGAAGCCCCAGAACTGCGAGTTGGTGCTCTTCAGCACAGTCAACTTGGCCAGAGACGACGTGATGTCAACACCCTTGCCCTCGACGACATCGACCTGCACGTTGCGGGTTTCCTCGCCATCCCGGAGGAAGGAGTGCGGGTGCGGCTTGCCGTCGATGGTCATACGGGTCCAGCGGTGGGTGATGATGTTGACATGGGCGGCGTGGATGTGGTTGTACTTGGTGATGAAGTGGCTTCCAAGAATGGAGCCGAAGAGCTCGGGGGGAGTGACGGGATTTTGCTTGGCGGTGATGTAGATGGTGTTTTTGATGGAGTCGGTTGCGACAATGACGCTGTTATCGGCTTTGGTGTAGCTATAGGAAATGAGGGTTAGCTTTGGGTGTGAGCTGAAAGGAGGAGAAGTACATACGAGGTGTCGATGTCACCCTCCAAAAGGACGCAGACGGTCATCTCCACGACTGTCTGGACGCCGGTCTTCTCGTCGCGGTGGACCTTGTATACTCGGACATTGTCCTTGCCGTAGCGGGCCGCAGTAACTGGGGAAGACATGGTGGGTATGGGGTAGGGAGGAGAGGAAGTTGAGCAAGCAAGGAGGGAATCAAACTAGCAATAAACACAGAACTGGAGATTCAACTGCAACCCCTGTGGCAGCAGGATGAAGCTTTTTAAAGGCTTCTCCGGAGCCAGGGAGCAATCGGGATGGGGAGAGGCAGCGTATCGGCCACCTCCGAAGCCCGCGGGACTTGACGGCCGCAGCCTCCCTCGCTTTATCTTATCGCCCCGGGATTCGTAACCTCTGGGGTTATGCAAACATCAGGCAATCCCGGCTCTGGATGCCGGGTTGTTGGTTAGAATGTAATGTTCCGAAGTGATTGGGATGGATTCATCTGGCTGCCGTCAGTGGTTGCATGAGACACAAAGAATGACAGCCAGACTACCAAGAAACAACCCCAAACGTAGATGGAAGTATCGGACATGTGACTGCCCAGACGTCATCCACTCGACATGAATCTCGCAACTCAACAAACAATGAATTCCCAGACTCAAGATGGTCTCTATGCCATAATTGCAGGAATGTCGGGATCTGCTAATATTCTGAATAAAGCATATCCCGTTTAAACCCTCGACTGGCCTCCAATTGCTCTGCTACGGCCCTGTCCGACACCGCGGGACCAACCAGTTGTCCAAAGGTTCAGCAATGAGAGCTATCCGGCTCAATCGTGCTGAAACCAAGACACCAAGTCGACAGACCTCGACATACCATGTGGTTTACAACTGAATCCAGAGAGCGCCCACCATGGCTTCTCAAGTACCGTTCCTCCACAGCCTTCATCATCGCGACAGTTTGGACCTCTTCGTTCACGGTATGCAGACGTTCTACACCAGAAACACAATAGCTGACACCGGCAGGACTACTTCCTCTATGCTATGGTGAGCATCATCCATACCCACATCTACAACACCATCTGACATCCTAGATCGTTCCCGTCATGCCAACAGCCTTAGTCGACCGCGCGAAGATACCCTATGAAGACCGTACGTCTCACCCTCCACCACAATCAAGCGAATCTATACCATCTAACACCCAATCAGGCGAACGCTGGGTCAGCATTCTCCTCATCTGCGAAGCCACCGTCGCATTCGTCTGCTGCCCGATATTCGGATACCTGATCGATGTGGCACCCACGCGCAAACTTCCCTACCTTCTCGGCCTTATCCTGCTCGGCGCATCGATGCTCATTCTCTGTCTCGCACGCACCATCGGCTTCTTCGTCATCGCACGGCTCCTACAAGGCGGTGCAACCGCCATGGTCGTTGTCGCCGGACTCGCCCTTCTCACCGACTCTGTCCCATTCGAAAACCTCGGCCAGACCGTCGGATACCTAGGGTCAGCGGTTACGCTAGGGTTCCTTCTAGGACCGCTACTGGGGGGTCTCGTGTATCGGGTTGCGGGGTATCAGCCCGTATTCGCAATGGCGTTTGCCATTGTAGGAATAGACCTGGTAATGCGATTTGCAGTGATCGAAAAGAGAGTCGCGAAGCGGTGGATGGCGCTGTCGCAAGATGATGCCGACAGCAACAACGAAACCAACCACGACAATCCATCCGATGATAACCCACCTCAACCCGACACCACAGACAACGATGCAACCATCATACCCAAGCACTCTCGTAAACCCACCCTCCTACTTCTCCTCCAACAGCCCCGCATCCTCATATCATCCTGGGGCCTCCTCGTCCACGGCATGATATACGCAGCCTTTGACGCCGTACGTCCCTTCCCCGTGCACCTCCCAACTATAACCAAATCCCCTAACAATCCACCAAATAAACCAGACAATCCCCATCTTCGTAGAATCCCACTTCAACTGGACCCCCCTAGGCGCCGGCCTAACCTTCCTCCCCTCCTCCATGACCGCTCTCTTCGAGCCCTACTTCGGTATCTCCCCTCCCATCCTTACCCCCGACCAACCCACCCACTAACCCATTCCAATAACCACAGGAAAACTAACCGACACTCTTACCCCCCATCCCATAGCAACAGCCACCTTCCTCCTCCTCCCCATCCCACTAACTCTCCTGGCGCTCTCCAGCCAACCAACAACAACCCATATCACCCTCCTAATGATAAACCTCACCCTCACTGGCCTCCTCGTCAACATAGCAACGCCCGCCCTGTACCTCGAGACACAGCGCGTCCTAGACACCATGGAGCGCCGACAGCCGGGGATCTTCGGGCCAAGGGGCGCAGTCGCCCAGGCGTTCGGGATTCAGACGATGGCGCAGTTTCTGGGACTGAGTTTGGGGCCGTTGGCGGGGTTCGTAGAGGGGAGGTTTGGGTGGGGGAGTGTGGTTGTGGGGTTGGGGATGGTTTGTCTGGGGACGGGGGTGGTGGTGGGGGTTGGGTTGAAAGGTGATTGTTGTGGGTATGGGGGTGAGGGTGGAGGTGAGGGGGATGTGGATGGGGAAGGTGAGAGGGAGAGGTTGCTTGGTGGTGATTGATTAGGTAGGTGAAGTAGTACCAGGATATAGATTTGAATTAAAGCTCTTGGTTTCGAGTAGGAGAAGTTTGTATGTAAGTTTGTTTGTTTTAGATAGTAGAACCTAGGTCAGTCATGTACTGATTGATACATTCGTATTTCAGATCAGATCTAACATCCATTCATCCATCCATTCATCCATCCATCCATCCTCAATCATATCACTGCACCTTTTATCAAAAGAGGTAAGACGAGATTCATGCATCACACACAAACAAAGCAGGATTGTCTTCATGTACAGTTCAAACTCAATCCGAATACACACCGGTGTGGGTGTAGCATAGCATAGCATGGCATGGCATGGCGTGGCGGAGCGGAGCGGAGAAAGAAGAATCCATATCAACACCAGAATGAATGGATCAAATCATATGATAAGAGAATCGAAAATCGGAAAGTTAAAAAGCGGTATGTTTTCTGTCTGTAATCCATTCATCGATGGGGGAGGAAAAGAAAAAGAGAGAAGATAAACGCCATCCAATGCCCTACTTGGACGCCAATCACCCCTAGGCAATAGGGGGTTTAAAATGTAATGAAAGTAAAGAAACTCCACTGTAACGCTCATATCCCCAAACACCATAGATAAATCAATCAATCAATCAATCAATCACAGACTTAGCTGATCAATGCTCCCCACTCTACCGCTCCCACCGAGCCGACCTCCTCCCTTCGTCACCATCCCTAAGCGGTAAAACCGCTCCTCGCCGCCAGGCGTTCGACCCCCGATATACCACTTCTCCGGGCCCAGCGCATCGCGGAATCCTCCCGAGCCACTTGAGCTGTCGCTGCCGCGACGCTGACGGCCTTGGCTGTTTGTGATAGGGATAGGGTTTGATGCGGCCGGGGTAGGCGGGGAAGAGGCGACCTGCTGGGTCTGAGGTGGGGCCGGAGATGCTGGGGAAGATTCGGGCTGGTTCAATGGGGTTCGCTGGTGCGAGTGAGGACGGGAGTGGGAGGAGGATGAGGCGCTAGTGGTGGAATGATGGTGGTAGTGGTGGGTGGTGGTAGATGGAGAGGCATCTGATGAGGAAGCGGCTGCGTTGCCGCTGCTGGCCTTGGTGGCTATGGCTCGTGCGCCTTGGGAGATTTGGGTGGAGGAGAGAGAGGAGGATGGGCCAGCGGCAGCGGATTGTGAACCTGCTGTTGAGGCTTTGTATGTGGACTGGGCGCGAAAGGCCGCTAGAAAGTTGGCCAGGAATGGCCGGTTGGTGGACATGGTGGCGAGAGGGGGAGCCACGGTGAGAAGATGGAAGTGAAGTAATTGATTTTGGACTGACAGGGGTACGCTAGTCGGATGAGACTAGGGCCTGTAGTCGGTCGCAGGTGTGTTTGCTAAATATTGGTGTAGGAAGTGTGGGTTGCTGGATGCGGGGAATTGTGAGGTGAGGGAATTGCGAGCTCTTGTATATAGAGTTGGTGTCGGTGGTCGTCGGTCGAGATCGGGGCGATAGTAGCCGCGGAGTTGCGGAGTAGACGAGATCTAGACGGGGAGTCTGAGAGGAGAGTGTGGGTGGTGGAGAGAGACTGAGTACAATAGTACACAAGTACACGAGCACAGACAAAACCAAAAGGAGACTGCAGGAGGGGACGGATGATCGGAGCCAGAAGGACGACGGAGGAGGAGGACGATGACGAGAGAAACGGCGAAGAACGAGATCCAGAAGTGAAGCTGGAGGACCTCCGGAGAGTCCCGTGGGCGGCGGCCAATCAGTGGGGGTGGATATCAATCCGGGGGAGCCCCTCGGCGGTGACGTCTATTAATGGTTTCCTTTAAAACTATCAGTTATATCTGTTTGATGGAGAGGATGGAATAATCACTCATCACTCGAGATATGAAGTAGTGTGTCTCTTATCTTTTATGCTGGGTGAATGTCCCCCCTACATAAGTAGTTGTTGTTGGATATACCATGTCTTTCTCCTTCTCTCTTCTCTATTGTCCCCCCACTCTCTCTCTTCCAAGTAAACCATCGGCCTACTACTTACTTACACTTTGGCACATGCGAGACCCAAAAAAAAAAACAAGAATGAAATCACCTGCAACAAGAATACCCGATCGCACTAACCAGCCAGCGCTCACCGTAGGGAAATCCCGGGATCTTCCCCAGGCCAACTCCGCCCCGGACCAAAGGCTGGCTGGCTTGTTCGGTCGGGAAAAGTCAAGTTCCAGGGAGTCACGGGGTGTTCACATGCCTTGTCCGTTCCGATCCCGTGAGGCTCTCTTATTGATTAATGAATTACCTTAGTAGTTAGTTATTTCTGTAGTACTCTGCTTTCTCCTCTACATGCCCAGAATAATGGTAAGTCAAGTAAATATGGTCCTTATTATTTCTCGTTCAACTCCGAATCACTGGCTGTCTATATTCTAGCTTTTGGATTCCCGCGGCTTCCCATAAGTGACGACTTCCACCAGGCCTGATGCAGGGGGCTCAACAGCTTCCCTGGCCTCCAGACTCCAGGACCAGATACAAGAAGAAAATACATGCAGCATCATGGATAGAACAAGTACATAACCGACGTATGGAACATCTGGGGGCTGACCAAGGGTGTGCATCCAGGCAGATCAACCAACCGCCGTCCGGAGTAACAAAAAAGACAAGCTCCAACACAGCAGGAGTGCCCCTGACTGCGGCCAGGATCTGCAGGCAACCCAGCCGCAAAATGTAGGAAATTGGGCAGTCGAAAAGCACCATGCTACCTTTTTCAGTCACGAATGAGAAAAATGAAAAGAAAACGGAAAAAGAATAAAGCATGAGACACGGAAGGAAACAGAAGCACACTGACACAGAAACACATTGGATAGGGAACGCAGGAGGCAAATGATAAACACAAGACGATGCAACACCTTTCATCCTAGCTCGACCTCGTATGCCCCCATCGGACACACAGTATGTACTTACATGGTCGACTGGAAGACAACATGCGGATAGGAAACGGCCGTAACGGTTATGCAAACAAATCCCGAACACACTCAACCCTCCGTGCAGCTCAAATTTGGACAGGTAAAGGGAACATGCAAAGCGGAACGAAGAGTGGACGGAAGCCTTCCCTGCTAAAGAAATCTTTTGATGACTCGTTGAAGATGAGAGAGCCCTTGACGCAACAGAAATCAAAACACATGCCCAAGTCTATGATTGGACGCCAGTTAAAAACCACACACACCATCCCATCAACCCACTCATAATGGATGGAAACAAAACAAAACAGGTCCAGAATCACCGCAAATCTGCACTCGCCGTAGAAAATGCTCACAAGATTTTTCAAATAAAACATGGACGACCAGATAACCCAGTAGGACAAAAGAAGACGTTTTCATAACAATTGAGTAATCCGGATGCTGTAATCTAGACCAACGCTGTGGCGCGCTGCGCGGAGTCGGTGGCCGAAACGAGCTTTTTTCTATCTGTATTTTTTTCTTTCCTTCCATTTTCCGGTTCCTTTTTTTTCTTGGTTTTTTCTTTTTTCTCTTATGACAACCCTCAATAATCATTCATGAGGCTTTCCAGGCTGGATTCAATGCGCATAATCCAGGAGACTGATAAGGCACCAAACCGCATAGCATGTACACGCTTGTGCAAGAGCATCAACAGCATGATCGGAGAAGCGTCCCCATACATACTCCCAGACAAATGCCTAGCATTGCAAGACATCGCTAGACTTATGCATAACATCGTTTGACAACGTAACCCAGTTAGTAAGACAAATTTTGTAACCGTTCGTTTAGGCCGCAGTACTTCGTCTCCCTTGACGTTATGCACATCAAGCTCAACGTGGTCAGCTCAAGACATCCACTTCCAAGTCACCACTATTGCCTAGCAGGCTGGACGGTACCTGGGATTCGGGGATCAGCATGCCGTCATCCATACGCAGAGCGGGATTGAGTTCCAGGACTCCTTCACTTACCGTCGCCACTCAACGTGGTCGAAGCCAGGTAGAGACCGTTCATCCCACCTTCCTGGGGACCAGCGGTGGTGGTGGGGTAAAACTTGCGTTCGGTATCGACGTGAGCGTGGATAGGCTCCTGGCCGGACGCCATGGTCTGGGGGAAGACGGGATTGATGTAACCGTCGGACGCTCCGGGCTGAAACATCGAAGTCCAGTCAATTTCGCCAGCGTGATTGGGAGGTCCAGGCATGACAGGACGTTTAGGGTCTTGAACAACCGGGGGCTTTACCTGCTCAATAGGAGGACGATCAACATTCAGCTGCTGGCCAGTTGCATCTGCGCCAGGCTGCACCATGTACGGGTTCTGCTTGGGAGCAGCAAGCCAGGGTCCACGCTGGTGAGGCTGTCCGCCCGGGAACGCGTCTTCGGGCTGACCACGGTTCATCCCATTGACGGAAGGCATGGAGAAACCCAAAGGCTGCTGTTCCGGATATCCGGGGCGACCGGGAGCCATGCCATTGCCATTCACGGGCGCCTCGCCATACGTAGCACCCGGCATACCGTTGGGATGCGGGACGGTGGTATTGACTTCATCCTGAACGGGCTTAACGGCATTCTGCGCAGCTTGAGACCGCTTCAAGTGTGCCTGAGGGTGCGACAGGTGAGTCGCCCCAGTAGGGTTACCACGTCGCAACGAGCACTTCTGGAAGTGACGCTTGAGAATATCACTGCGAGAAAAGGTATCCTTGCAGAGCACACACATGTACGGACGGTCTCCAGTGTCTACCGAAGAAAACAAAGATTAGTCATCGGAACGATTCAATCCCCGCCATGCGCTACCGAATTATCCAGATGGAAGGAGGGGCACTCACGTCTGAGCAAATGGCGCTTCAGATGCTTCGCATGAAGATAGGTCTTGTTACAGTGCGGGCAAGGGAACTTTCCGTCCGCATCCTTGGCCGGAATGGTAGTGTTCTTCGCGGTACCATTGACACCGTTCGTGACGGGAGTCGCGCGTCCCGGAACGCTCGGCAAAATTCCGCGGCGGCCCTGCGACCCAACAACCTGTGTCCTGGGAGGTTCCTTCGCAGCATACGGGGGAGCACCGTTTGCACTTGCAACAGGGTCGGGGTTCATCCAAGGCGTTCCCTTGTTATCGGAGTAGCTGAAAGCACCTGACGGAAGACCGGAGAAATCCGAGCGACGATCACGCGGAGGCGCCGGCGCAATCGGCTGGGGATAGGTCTGCGCGCTGGACGCGGGAGGCAGCACGCTATGAGGCGGAGGGTAAGGTTGCGACGGCTGGGGTTGTGCCTGCGGATTGGGATGGGACAGGAACGACGAGGGAGGCAGACTACCCACGGTGGTGTGAGGCATGATAGGAGCCGCGGAAGACGCGTAG